AGCCTTCACCCATGTGTGTTCAGTATACCCTCAGCGGATTCCCACTTGGAGAAGATACTCTGATGGGCGCAGTATGAGTAGTAAGAGCTCACCCTTGTACTTCTCTCTAACACAGATCTTACCAGCCCTTTCCCCTCTGGCACACTCGGGGAACCGGATTCATCTCAGAAATCCAAGTAGCACTGCTTCGTTGAAGCCTTTCCCATCTGCTGCTCCAGCCCTCTATTAAAAAGGACAACTAGTTTCTATCAGAGCAGCTGTACCTTTCAGTACACCCATGTTTGAAAGAGGTGTTTCCCCCCCCCCACTAGACCATCAGCACCCTCAGACAAGCACCTTAACATTCGTGCCTGGATCTCCAGCCCTTCTCAGCCTGGCATGGAACATGCTTAACCCACACGTATGAAGGGGCGAGTGGATGGAGCACGGCATCACGGCACGCGTGGAGTCCCCAAGCGGTGTGGGGTCCGGGGCTGGCTCTTGCTCCAGTCTGTACAGGAGAGTGCTCGGAGCGTTTGTGCTGAGCGTGGCTATGGGAAGGGAGAAAGACACACAACAGGGGGAGCCAGGGGGCTCTGGCTCAAGGACTGACAGCACAGTGGGATGCAGGAAATGCCAACGCATCAGAGAAGGCTTCCTGAAAGAAGCAGCGGCTTGCTGGCTCTGAACTCAGCCTTGTGAAGGGGACCAGGGGGAAACAACATCTCACAGTGAGGGAAAGGCAATGGCACAGGCTACAGAGTGAGTTTGTGAGGCTGAAGATTCAGAAGGGATGTGGGGGCTGGCTAAGGCTTTTGAACTCCTCTAGATTCTGGAACTCAGGAGTTCTTAGCAGAAAGGTAATGGGATGAACACAGTGCTTTGGGAAGGCCACTCTGGGACAGGGGAGAGAACTTCTGGAGAGGACCAACTCCTCGGGAGTTGTAGGTGGACCAAGGAGGAGACCAGCTTTGGAAAGCAGAGAGGAGGCCTGAGCTGTCACAGGGAGGAAGAGTATGGCTGGGGGCACGTGGGGCCTCCCCCCAAGGTAGGAGAAACCACAGGGAACGGGCTGTGTGGGGAGATGGACAGGGCCAGTGGAAACGTTTGGGGTGTGCCACGACCGTCCACTAGGGGGAGCTGTTTGACCAGACACCAGCACTTGGGAGCCTATGCTTGCTGGTCAGCTAAGGTGAGGGTGCCCCTGTGCGTGTGTGCGTGTTGCAGACACCTCTGCTCAGACCTGAGGCAGCCCAGCAGCACTGACAACCTGACACCCTGTTGCAGAGGAGGGTAGGACGAGGGCAGTCAGGGCCGCCATGGGAGGAGTCGCACTGCTCCTTCCCGGTGCTCACCTGGCCCTGTGAAGGGAAGTACCCCCACCCCCCACCCCCAACCATGTGGAAGCAGCCAGGAGGGACTCCCTGTCACTTCAGCCAGCCCAGCCACTACAGGACAGTCAGAATATTTTTTCCAGAATTTTCTTCCAGCAGAGCTTTTATGACCTCCTTGCCTTTTCCCTTTGGCGTTAAGAACCTCCCAAAAGTCACCAGGAAGAGCATGAGCCATTGAGTCTGTGCTGACCTCTCACCGCCCTCCCCACAGAAGTGGAGTGCAGTCCACGTATAAAAGTACAAAAGGTATAAAAGCTACAGTGAAGAGCACAGCACGGCTGAAAAGACAGGGCCCCCTGGACCACCTCCCGGACATCCGTTCACCAGCCTGCTCACTCCTGTCGGTGCACACGTCCCAGGTGTCCTGCTGGCCTGGCTAGGCTTTGCAGGTGGCCGTGCCAGCTCCCCCTTGACGCAAAGACTTGACACCCCCACGCGTGCCTCTCTGGGCTCTCGGCCACGAAGAACGTCATCTCCAGTCCTCAGAGCTGGGAGCGGCCAGGCGAGAGTCGTTCAGCAGCTGGTCCTGGCTCAGCAGAGTCTGAAAGGACACAGCCCAAGGGGCAGTTGAATAGGGTTTTGGTCAAGGCTGCCCTGCGGCAGCTGCATGGGAAGCAATGGGACACTGGGTGTGGTCCTGACACTGGCACCCTCTAAGTTCACGGGGCTCCCGGGACCCCACATATGGAATCAGAACAGACTGTACTATCGCTCGTATCTTAGTGAAGGTGAAGCTACTGTTTGAAGACCCCCCCCCCCGGCCCCAAGGCCTATTCGTGGTGATGAGGGGAAGGTTGGGTGCATTCCCTGTGTGAGCCAAGGGGAAAAAAAAAAGAATAAAAATGAACCCATTTCAATCCAGTCCTCCCCCTTCCCTCCATTTCCATATTGTCCTTGGATATGACCTTCTTAGTGTCCCTCAACAGATCAGTGAGCGAAGGACAGTGATGGGGGCCTCAATGTGGACAGATGCCAGAGCCAGTGGGCTCAGTGATGGGACCATCCAGAAGTAACGGGAACTGGAAGGTACAAGGCCTCTTCTGCAAATCTTCTCTGTGGCTGGTCTTTTACTGCCAGTTCTCACCTAAGTGCCCCGCTTCACAGGTAACTAAGCTGGGGCTCGGAGAGAGAATGACTCGCCTGGAGTCCCAGAATTAGTAAGAGGCAGAGCAGCACTTTGAACCAGACTGGCCTTACTCCAAAGTGGCTTCTTTCTCTGACACCATTCTGTCCCTTCATGTTACAGTCTGTCCCCATGAGGATGACAGGATGTGTCCACATGCCCACGATATCCGTGAAGTCAGAGGCATGGCATGAAATGTGTGTGTCTCATGGACAGAGAGTGCAGTGCAATGCCCACCAAGTCAGAGAGGAGGCCCAGGCATCGGGCTGAGGAAGCAGGTGATGCAGAACTGCTAAGCATCTTGGTTCTCAGATGAACTCACCAGCTCTGAGCCTGGGAAGAGGACTGAGACCTGGCATGCTTTAGCTGATTTCGGCTCAAGGCCCGTGACCCTCCTTAGGGCCCCTTGCAGCTCAAGGCCCAGCAGCAGGCCAGCTCTGGCTCCAGCTCCGGCCACAGTGTTCAGCACCACCCTTCGAATCCCTAGCAGAGGCTAGGACACAGACTTGGGATTGGGTGTGTGTATGTAGGGGGGTTGTCTCAGGCCGTGGGTATCACAGTGTCAGACTCGTGGGGCCACACTGGCACCTGGCCTACTGTGGAGAGAAGGTCAGAATCCTACCGTGAGGCGGTGAATGTCTTGGGAGAGGAGCCCTATCTGCGTCACAGCGCCTTCCGAAGGGGCCATCTGTAAAACGGGCAGCAGCCTGGTCAGCACACGTGGACAGAGTCCGCTTGTGATCACAGGGATGTCATGCAAGTCCTGTCCTGGGGGAGTGGGCGAGGAGGGGGCCCAGGCCCCGAGGAGTGACAGCTGGGCAGGGCACATGCTGTCTGTGTCCCCAGGAAGGCCAGAGCTTTCAGTATCCCACGCAGCCATGTGCACACTCTCCGGAGGTCTGCCCTGGCACCAACACTGAGGGTGCAAGGGACATGGGACACGGGCACCCACACGAGCTCAGGGCTCCAGCTAGTTCTAGGAGCAGAAAGCGGCAGGGATGAAGGCCTCAGCGTGCTGAACAAACCAACAATTTCCAGGGACTACAGGGGCCCATGTGCCAACGCCCCAGTAGAGGTTATGGGCATCCTTGGGAAGCCGCTGGGAGCCTCCCTTTTCCTCGCCTCCCCTCCAACCCTTAGGTAGTGCTGGTCTGCTCCCTCTTCCCTAAGCCTATGCAGACTTCTAGCTTTAGAAGCATCCTCTGAGGGCATCAAATATCATCCCACATTTTCCAGGTGCGAAAAACAGGTCCACAAAGGGACACAGGCCTTGCTTGGGGCTGCACAGAAATGCAGTGATACTAATTCCATGCAGGGTTTGAAAACAGGTGCATGCAGAGACACTCTCCCCAGGACACTCCAGGAAATCAGGGACAAAGCCAGCTCAATGACAGCCATGTCCTGCGACCAACCCTGAGGAGCACCTGCTGTTCAGTGTCCCAGGTACTGGGATCAAGCACCAGCCGTGCCAACTAGAGACCTTATCCTGTTCTCACCGGCTGACTTCAGGGGGGCTCAGGAGGTCATGGTCTGGGAATACCAGCTGTCCCTGGGGCTGCTGGTAGTTTAAGAAGCAAACCAGAGCACTGCCGGCATCTGGGACAGAATCAGGGTGACCTGAAGGGGGCCAGTAAGCCCTGTTCCTACCCGCCAGACTGTTACAAGGCAGCTAATACCCTGCAGATGAGGCCTGGGGGACCCAGCAGGCCAAACCCTGCCCCGGAGAAACTGGAATCTCAGAGCAGGAACCCAGACTGGCAAGATATGTCCAGACAAGGCCCATCTGGAAGAGCTATCATCAGCTAGCCAGCCTCTAAATCAGGAGGCAAGACTGTTCCCGTTCTGCCAACAGACGGACCAGCCCCCATGACAGACATGGGCCCAGCCAGGTCAACAGCAGAGAGGCTGACAAACCACACAGAAGAACAGAGGCGATTTCCACGGGGCCGTTTTCTTGCACTCTAGGAGGTTCACGCCACTGAAACGGAAACCGACTCTGGGGTCTGCATGACAGATGTGACCGACGGTCACTGAGCACCAGGTTCCCCACGGCTTCACAGAGGGAGGTGGAGCCTGAAATGAAGAGGCCCCACACCTTCTCTGAAGGACATGGGGTCCCTCCATGCTTCAGCCCCTTGTCCACGACACCTGGCAGATGCCAAGCGGGCCCCTGGCCAAGGACTGGCTCAGGGCCACCTGCTGTCACAGGACTCCATCTCCAGCTTTGCCCAGCTCTCTTCCCCACCCAGTGAGGTTAAAGATATGCAGTGCTGTTGGCTTTCTACATAAATACTGTCTTTATTACCAGAAAGAAGCGACCACCCATGTGGATAAGGCACAACACAGTGATGCAGTCATTGCCGTCCCTGGGGTCTCAGCCGCAACTCTGTGGCCACAGGCCTAAGGCACTTGACACTGGCGCCCAACAGAAGCCCAGAAGAGGGGCCCAAGAGCCAAGCCTCTGGGGATCATCCGTGGTCTCGGGACCCGCGTCCAGGGTCATGTGTTTCCACCAGTGCTGAAGATGGCCACTAAGAGTTACTACAAATGTACAATCATCCTTGTGTCTTTCCTCCCGAGTCCATTTTGGCAAGAGTCCCCAAAGCCTGGCCCCTTAGCAAAAGTGCCACTCCATTACCCTGGCCACCCCCCAGAGTTCTGAGAGACACTGGCCAGGGGTACACAGCAGCCGGAATGTTCTCTGTGAGGCATGCACGGGGCGGGGGGTAAGGCGCAGCTCTGTGGGGACACACGCGATGTTACGGTGAAGCTCTCAGGGTGCACAGACAGGACGGTAACAAGGCCATCAGCGAATCTGTCCCACCTGGTCCAGCCCATCCAGTTCAGGGCCATCGAGGGGGCTGAAGCCCCGGTAGCCACTGTAGGCCCTCTGACTGTCACCAGCACCGTCAGTGGGCTCCATGGGGCAAATGTAGTCCGTCGACTCATCGAATTTCTTTTTTCTTATGTTGCCAAAATGGGAAAATCCTAGTTTCCTTGGCTAAAACACAATAAATGCATGATTAGGAGAAGGGGATTATCAAGTCAGGGTGCAGACAGGACTCACAATATAAGGAGGAATGGAAGAAGCTAAACAACTTCTGGAAAAATTCTCAACACAGCAGAGCTCCTGGCTAGGGAGAGGCCGATAGGTAAATAATCTTGAGCAAGGAGAGAGAATCTTGCTCCTCCAAGACTGTGTGACTTGAAAGACTCAAGTCCTGTTGGCCCACGAGTGACCTTCTACCTTCCCCAGGGGTAACTGGAGGAACTGCCTCACAGAGAGGCGGCCTCTATGGCCTGCAGTGCCTTGTGCCCCGGGGAGGCTGCACTGGACAGCCCTAGGCGGCCCCTCCTGCTTGTTCTAGCTTCCTGTGGTACCCTATCTGATGGTCTCCCCCAGACACACGTGTAGCCCTGCTCCCTTGGAGATGGCAGTCCATGCATGAACTGTAGCTAGACCTGGGCATCACCGTGCTGCTGGGGACATGCCCTCCAGAGGTGTGGGCCTGCAGTCTGACGAGGACATGGTCTGAGGACAGTGTGGTTCAGGCAGTTTCTCACAGGCTCTGTGGGATTCAGAGAGCCCCAGGGTGTGCTGCTGGTGCTTGTATGACCTTGGGACCCCTGGACAGCTGTGTACTGGCCTCGTTCCCAGCACAAGGCCATCGGAGCACTGTGCTGGCAGGACAGTTCTGAGGAAGACACCTCCCTGCCCCCCCCGCCATGACACTGACCCAGAGATGAGCCTGACTGAACGGAACACAGAATCATGAACTCATCTGCTTGTAAGATGAGTCAAGGCATCCCTGGGATTGAGGACAAGCGCTAGCTGGCTGAGAGCAGATGCTTCCTGGACATGGTGTGTGTGCACAGAAAACTCTACTCTCTTTCTTGGACTCGGGTACAGCAGGAACTGAACAAACGAAACAGACGAGGAGACCAAAGCTCAGAGGACAGGACCTGAGAGAGCCTCCTCATCCGTGTGCCCCAGGCCCCTGCCAGTTTGGCTCCAGGCACCCGGCCCGCTGCAGTACAACACAAGTGCTAGAAGGCAGGCCCCTCAAGGGCCCAGAAACTCACCCGGACTTTGGCTGTGGTGGTCAGTGGTGTGTACGCTGGTGAGGCCATTTTCTCTCGCTTTTCCTGCTCAGCCTCGGGACCAATCAGGGCATTGAATTTGGTGGTCAGGTGGCGTCTGAGGAGCGTCTTTTGTGGTGGAATATTGAGAAGCATAGCTAGGGTGTCCCCAGTGAAGCGTGGCTCCAGGATCTAAGAAACAAACACAGACAGAGCTGCCCAGCGATGACTATAGATGGCTCTAGGACAGGACATGGAGAAACAGGCCCTCATGGGCTGGGGGGTGTCTCGAGAGAGGGCCTGGAGCTCATCTGCTCATCCTGTATGCCGCTCCCCTCGGTTTGCCTGGCACAGGGCCTGGCTTGGAGAAGGCACTAACACACTGGGTGGCTGACAGCCTCATTTTCACAGACCAGCAGAGCACAGTTGCTTCTTGGATAAGCCACCCCTCCTTCATTGCCCCACTGACTTTACCACTTGACAGATCTGAAGGACAATCACGACCATATTGTGGCAAGCAGGAAGTTACACTGTGGTGGCCAACCCCTCACTCCCCAGCCACCGCGTTCCTCCAGGAGCAGGTGGAGATGCTGTGTTAAGGCCTGACTGATGCAACCCACTTGTCCTGGATCCCTCTGGATCTGGTGCTCTGGAAGTCCTTTCCAGAAACCATCTTGTTTCCATGAAGTATATTCATTCCCAACTGCAAATTATCAAATATTCTGAGATTTCAACTGATGCAAGGGCTGTCAATATTTTTACCAGGATTTATGTCTAGCCATGAAAAAACTGGGTTCTGACTACCCCAGTTTACATGACGCAGGTGGGCTAGTCTAAAGAGCCACTCACGATGAGGCCTCCATGGACACCACTCCCACGAAGGTTGGGTGCGTACTCTGCCAGGTCCACGGATCGCAACCACTCCATCACCCTGTGGTTGGACCACTGCACAACTTCTGAAGGAGAAAGGTTACTCTGCAAGAGGGAGAGGAAGAAAGTTAGGTCTAACAGGCCCTACCTGTGGCCCCCTGTGGGACCAGCCCCTGTGAACAAGCCTGCCTCAGATGCCTGACCAGAAGACAGCCCTCATGCCCACGGAGCTAGGCAGCCAGCCCAGCGACCTGAGAGCCTTCCTGGTTTCCAAGAGAAAGAGTTCTCACAGAGTCTTGCAAGATCTTCCACACTGAAATCTTTGATTCCAGAACCCTAATTGTGACTCCCTAATTCTCTGGTTGGGACTGGTAAAAGAAGGCACAGAGTCATTCATTCAGTGACTCAACAGAACTTGAAAGAGGACTATCATTTACGAGTCACGTGTTTTACAGACAAAAGGTCTCCTGGGAGCAGCCAAATGTTTTAAGACACTTAGAGCTAAGTGGTATCTTAGGCTTCAAAATGCTCAGCACTGTGCCTGACACACAGAAGGCATTCAAAACTTATTTGCTGAATAGGGAAAACATGAGACAGAAGGCGGAGGTAGGAGTTTTTGATCCCTCAGGAAGAGGAGTTACTCTTATAACACGGGTACACTCAGTTCCCAGGAGTACAGGAGATGGGGTGTGATGGACAAGCCTTTAGCTTCAGGGCGCAACAAGAACTCTGTGGCCTGCAGAACATGACCAGGCACTTCTCCACGACTTGAGCTGCAGTGTTTACCTAGGCTCGCTCTTCTCTAGCAAAACCTGCTCACCATTCCCTGTGCACCTGGGACTAGAGGTCAGCTAACTGTGTAGCTACAAGTAGGGAGATCGGAAATGTCTGGTTCCTGAGGGGCTCTTCTCCCCTCTGTCCACTTTGACCCTATCTTCTCATTTTGCTTTCCCCTCCTTCTCCTTTGCACCACTTGTTCATCATCTTTGGTCACTGTGATGGCTTTAAAGACTTGTTGTTACTGCCTCTGGCCCTGAACACGGGTCTCCCTGAGAGCGGTGGGAACTTAGAGGCCCAGTGTTTGTTGTGGGGCACAAAATGCAGGCAACAGGGGGTGTCTGGGGGCACCATTTAAGCAGCAGCAAGGGAAAGAATCCCAAGCAACCTGGTTCAGAACGCAGACACATTGTTCTGAGGCCATTCTTGTTTTGTCACACCTAACCTTGCAGGTGTCCAGACACATGGCTACCAGGCTAGGTCCCCGGATAGGTACGGTCCTGTCCTCACCTCATCAGCTGGCCGCCGGTGCAGGCAGTGGGGGTTGAACTTGTTGACGTGAAGCACATGAATGGCACATTTGATGCTGAGATGATGCAGTTGGCTGGTGACTTTTAAGAAGAGGAGATCATTCTGGAAGAGAAAAGTTTTGGTTGATAAGCCAGAGTTTCCAAGGTGACTGAGACCCTTCAGGTTCCTTCCCAGACCACACACAGACAAGTCTACCGCATCTTAGAAAGTGCACAATGGACACCCCAGCAGCTTCTCTTAGCTCAATGGTTGTGCTACCTTGGACCTCTTATGTGACCAACAATACTATTTAAAGACCTTAAGAAAAGAGGGACGAGGTGAAAGCAAGTTTAGAATAAGCACCAGGGGGATACCTGGGCTGAGTGCTCACAGAGACCACGGAAACCCTGAAAGGGAAAATCCTCACCACAGTTAGGTACTGTAGCATTCGCCCATCGACTCTGGACTCATGGAACTGGTCTTTGTATTGTGGTAAGCCAATATCATCAAGCCAACCTACAGAAACCAGAAGAAACAGGTGTGCTCGGGGTCATAAGAATGGGAGACTGCTAATGCAGGTAAAAAGCAATGAACGATCATCTTGCAGGTCCATCTGGATTCCCCGTAAGGAACTCACTCCCCCATCTGCCTTTCCCAAGGACAGCCAGTCCTGGAGGCACGCATTCCCAGCACAGGCTGTTTACCCTCGGGAGCTGCCAGGGACATGTATGCACACTGCCCGTCCTTACGTGTCACCCAGATGTGGTCCAGCAGGGCCGACTTCTCCTCCTGCTTGGTGTTGATGGCTTTCACGGCCAAAATCAGCTTTTTCCTGTGCAAAGGCTGCTTAATCCCCAACTCCTGAAATTGAAAGACACAGACAGATGTGAACTTCCGGCTGGCAGCTTGGCCCTCAGAGGGTGCCATGTCTGGGAAGAGATGGGGGTGTGTGTGGCAGCAGATACAGGCAGTGCCCTGTAATCGACATGCAGTCACAGAGGACATCTTGGCCTCGTCCCCTGCCCCCCACCGTGTGTGTGTGTGTGTGTGTGTGTGTGTGTGTGTAAGGGCAGGAAGAGTGGGGGCCTCACTGCCCCAGATACTGGTTTGAGGACAAAGGGGAACCTCCTTCCCGGGGCTCAGCTCTTACCTTTTCCATGTCCTGAGGGGTAGCTGACAGTAAAGTGTGGCCAGAAGTCACCCACTGCCGGGCAAAGATCACGTACTGGCCCAGGCCGAAGTCCTCCAGCCATGCGCACACGCGCTCCGTGCTCCATTGGGCAAAGGGGGCGCCAGCGTCACTGGGGGACAAGAGAATAGCAGGGCCCTGTTAGCGGGAGAGCCTGAGGCTGCATCTGAGCACAGCAGAGCCTCAGAGAAAAGGCAACTGTGTTTTAAATAATCCTAATCATGGGATTGAGCTGCACGAAATTCCATGACAATAATCATCTTTAGTGGACTCCAGAGTTTCCTGTGGTAACACCTGGTGTGAGCTTTGAGTCTTCAGGGACTGAGTACGAGCCAGGCATATGGTCCTCAGGAGGCCGTGTATGTGGGTCATCTGTCCACTGACGAGGCACATGAGCTACAAGCCCAGAATTGTGCCCCGTTATGAGGGTAATCATATTTTTATGGGCCAACACTGTCTTAAGGGAAATGCTTAGAAAACTAGGAAAAGGGGGTTAGTTCTCTAACATTAAAAAAAAAAAAACCTTCTAAACAGCGAATGCCTTATTAATGAGACACTAGAGACATTCACATTAAAGTCAATAAAGAGTATTTTTAATCAGGACTAAGAACACGGGTCTGAGAGTGCAGCCAGTATAAGAAGGGAGAAGAAGGACAGAAGGTAAAAGACAGCCACTCTTTTCAGATGATGGGCCTGCCCCACCTGGAGAACCCAAATGAGCCCAGTAAGGGGGCTCCTTATAAAACACGCAAGTCATATTTATATGACTTACAAAATCAGTAGCACATATACTAACATTTTTGTTGAAAAATTTTAAGAATCCTATTCACGGCAACCAGAATTATAAAATGTCTAGGAGCTGCTTTCTCAAGCAATGCCCAAGTCATATGTATGTGTGTGTGGGGATGGGAGCAGAGCAGGGGGAGGTGGTGACGATTATCCTCAACTGAGTAACATCAAGTCATGAATAAATCAAGGGCTAGATCATGTTCCCAGACAGGATGACTGGGAATTACAAAGCCATCAGTTCTTAAAGACATCAATTTTTCATTTAAGTGTGAATATAATGGCACACTCGAAACCTCCATGGAGTCTGGGGTGGGGAAGGCTGGCAAAGCAACTTTATGTTCATTTGAAGAAAAACCAACAGGATTTATGGAATGTAGAAAACTAGATAATCTGTAAGATTCCTTCCAACAAAGTACCCCTAACATGCTAGTTAAAAAATTGTTTTTGGCAGGTGGGGGGGTGCCTTGGTGGCTCAGTGGGTTAAGCATCTACCTTCAGCTCAGGTCATGATCCCAGCATCCTGGGATCAAGCCCTGCATCAGGTTCCCTGCTCAGTGGGGATTTTGTTTCTCCCTCCCTCTCTGACCCTCACACACACCGCCCACTGCCCTGGCTTTTGCATACTCGCTCAGTCTCTCGCTCTCAAATAAATAAATAAAATCTTTTTAAAAATTTGTTTGGGAATGACTGGTTGAGTTGTTCTTAAGGTAAAAGAGTTAAAAGACCAGAACAACAAGAAAGCATGGTTCTAACACTGATCTCTACCTCTGAAACCAATAATACATTATATATTAATTAATTGCATTTAAACTAAAAAATAAGTGAATAAAATGTTAAGTGACTAGAATCGTAAAAATTAATTAAAAATAAAAACAATTCAATATTAAAAAAAAAAGAAAAGAAAAAGAAAGCATGATTCTAGGTGTCCTGGGGTAAGTGCTGGCCACTTGGAGTAATGAGATCCAGGTTCTGGGAGAACTTGTAAAATTTGGAGGGACCCCCTTTAAGAAAAGTACAAAATCTGAATATGGAATTAGGAACAAATAATTCATTTAGAATGAGAAATCATAAAATGTTACAAGTTTAATCACACTGAAAACCATCACGAACTCCAGAAATATTTTTGAGTTTGTTACCTTTGTCAATGTATTCTATCATGTTAAATCACAAAATTTTCAGCTTTTTCCAGTGTGTTTAATATGATTCACTTTATATAAATAATAATCTAGGAACCTATTCACTATTTTTTTTTCCTATTCAGTATTTTTGTTTGGAATTTATCTTTTGCTTTTAATGAATTACTGCTTTTGGTCTGATCTGGAATTTTTTTATTTATTCTTTTTTTTTTTGAGACATTGGGTTTTTTTTAATCAAGCAATTAACATATGTGTATTATTAGTGTCAGAGGTAGAGTCCAGTGATTCATCTGTTATCTATAACACCCAGTGCTCATTACATCCCATGCCCTCTTTAATGTCCATCACCCAGTCACCCCAACCCCCACCATTTCCCCTCTAGCAACCTGTTTATTTCCTATAGTTAAAAGTCTCTTATTGTTTGTCTACTCTTTTGTTTTTAAGATTTATTTATCTGAGGGAGGAAGGGAGGGGGGAGAGAGAAAGAGAGAGAATGAGTTGGGGGGACAGAGGAAGAGGGAGAAGCAGACTCTCCACTAAGCAGAGAGCCGGATGTGGGGCTTGATCCTAGTACTCTGAGGTCATGACCTGAGCTAGAGGCAGGCACTTGACTGTTTTACTCAGACACCCCAGTTTGTCTTAATGCCAGAATACTTTCAGTTTCAAATGTTCATTTTGTCACTTTTATTTCACATTCTATTAGCTTTTGATTTCACTTCATTTCTTACTTCTGGAAATTGGTAAAAATACATATTCAATATATCAGAGGGGTATTTCAGTTCTGAATGAAAAATGTGCTTCTGAGATCATAATTTGAAAACCTCGCTCTTCTACACCTTTTCAAGAGTTCTAGAGCTCCAGTGCTCATCTTCGACAGAATTTCCATGCCCTTCTTTGTAAACGGTCTCCACCCTCCTCCACCAGTGTTGTTCCCACAGTGGCAGACCCTGCTTCTCCACCTGCCTGCCCCCGCTAGGTTCTCAGTTTTGGGGTCTCCCAGGGCTATCGCTGAACAGGCAACGAAGCAATTCAGAGAGGATAGAGAAGATACCTTCTAGGCACAGCCAAACCACTTGCTTTACTGACATGTTCCAAAACATCTTCCCAAATTGTGGTTAAAGTGATGTAAGAGATTATCAGATGCGCCATCCCCATGAACGAGGGACAGCACATGGTGCATTTATAACTGTATATACGTCATCAGTCAGTGCACTTCTGACTAGGAAGAACTTCTGTTTTGACGAAGCATCCATGAGAAGCAAAGCCCTTGCCTGGGATTTCGCAGCCCTAATGACTGGGAAAAGTTTTCACAGAACAGCTTCTGGTTTTATACATTTGAAATGTTTCTTTTCTACTGCCCCAGACTTCTGATAGCGAGAGCCAAAAGACACGTTCACACTGGGACATGACCGCCAGCTCTGCATCTCTGTGTCAGAGCACCAGACAGATGGGCACACTGGGAAGTGGTGCAAACCCTGGGAGACATTTTTACAGAGGACAGCTAGTCAACCAAACATGAAGGGACCGCACACCACGGACGCACACCCCAAAAAATCCAAGCTAAATGGAAACCCGGAACTCAACTCCCCCTTGGCAAGATCCCCCAAATGCCCACAGTGCTCCAGTATCATCTGACAGAAGGCAGTGTGTAGATGGAGGGAAGTCTGCAGTGAACAGTCAGCAGTCAAAAACTGCTTAGATTAAAATACCTGACTTGGGAAAGTTTTGCAAAACACATGGCTTTGTTGGCACATTGATGGGACTCTCTCCATATCCTAGAAGACACCTGGGTGCAAGCAAAGGACCCTGAAGCTTAGACTTGCTCACATTGAGGGTACACCTGACACCATGAATATGGGAGAAAGGCAGGAAGAGAGTCTGACCAGAGCCCCTCATAAAGCTACAGTCCCGAAGGGCAGCAGACTCAGGAGGCCAGCTCAGGAATCATCGCTGCACGGAGATGAGATCCAGCCATGGGATCGAGTCCGCCTGACTTCACCATTATACACTGCTGCTTTCTCTTGGAAAAACAAAAATACCTCTCACCACATACCAAAATAAATCCCCAAACGGAGGATTCAGACACAGCTTTAAAAAAATCATTTAAAAAATTAAACATGAACAAAACCACAAAAGAAAAGTTCATGAACTTCATTATATATAAACATAAAAATTCCATATGTCGAAGTGTCACAAAATAAACTTCTGTAACAAGCCTAAAACACAATTTATCACCATTACTAGACATAGCTTCATGTCTTAATACACAGAGAGCAGACAGAAGTCTGTAAGACAGACAGTAACAAAAATGGGCAAAAAATGCAGACAATTCACAAAAAGTAAAATGACAAACATCTGCAAACTAAATTAACAATAAAATGTAATTTTTTGTGAGTGTGACAGGCACTCTGCGTAGCAGTGCTGACTGGAATATAAATCAGAAAAACTTTATAGGAGAGAAGAAAAAACACAATAAAATTTATTTTTCTATAACCTCAGAGAAGAGTCCTAGGAAATGTCATTATCAAATACTATTATTTTAGCATAATTTTTAAAAGTTTACTTATTTATTTATTTGACAGAGAGAGACACAGCGAGAGAGGGAACACAAGCAGGGGGAGTGGAAGAGGGAGAAGCAGGCTTCCCGCTGAGCAGGGAGCCTGATGTGGTGCTGGATCCCAGGACCCTGGGATCATGACCCGAGCCAAAGGAAGAAGCTTAACCACCCAGGTGCCCCACAAATGTGATTATTTTAAAAAGAAATATTTCATTAGAATAAAAAAAGAGACTGGGGCTGGAGACTTTCTGTAACCAAATACTTTTCCTACAGGGATATTGGTGATGAGACTTTTTTTTTTTTAAGATTTTATCTTATGTATTTATTATCTTATTTATTTGACACAGATAGAGCATGGAAGGGAGGGGCAGAGGGAGAAGCTGACTCTCTGCTAAGCAGGGAGCCCGCCGTGGGGCTCAATCCCAGGCCCCTGAGATCATGACCTGAGCTGAAGGCAGACATTTAACCGACTGAGCCACCCAGGTGACCCCAGTGATGAGACTTTTCAAGGCTATACCTAAACATCTATAAATACCAGAAGCCATTAGTTTATATCAAATTTCCGCTGACAAGTAAGAAAGGCCATTCTTTTCCACCAGTGAATGCAAGGCCTTACCACAAGCGCTGTTAGCATAAATGCAGCAATCTCCTTAGGGCGTCCTCTTCCCCTTTCTCATCCTTGTTATGGTTAACAAAGCACAAAAACATTCACAGCAACCAGCCCTGTGGCTGGAAGCAGTTTTTCCTTCAGCAGAGAAGTTCCTGACTTTGGTTACCCCATCCTGAAATGGCTGACAGAAGATAAACGGGCCTCCTAACCATGCGGTCGGGCACTAAGAAAAAATGCTGAAGGGTCTTAGAGAAAGTTCTTATAGCCCTGCCAGTGAATCAACGCTAAAGAAATCGCCAGAATTGGAGCTGAGGTTAATCATGCAAGCTGACTGTAGACTTTTTTCATCTCTGAAAAATCAGAAACATTTGTGTCTAAATTTAAAAAACTGCTAGGAAATTAGAGTGTTCTTGTGGAATATATAAACTTTCTTTGGCTCGCTTTTTTACTGGCTCTGAATGGGTCTCTGCCTTCTCTTGCCTCCAAAAGCTACCACTCACCGAGCATTTACACCTGTAACACCAATGCCTCGGCTGGCAGGTACACAAGTGCACACACCCTCACATCTCCCTGCACGGCACCTGGAAAACACGTCTGTCGAAACCCATCAAGGTGCAAGTGGATCTGAGGAGGCCCTCGTCTCACACCCGAGCCAACCGGGAAAGCTTAGAAAGCTGGGGCTGTCTGGGTGGGGAAGAGAAGGGTGTGTCCATGGGTTCCCTTTCTCAGGGCAGTGGGGGCGGGGGGGTGGGGGTGAGGTGTACCAACAATAGGCTGCTTTAGGGAAACGTGCTTCTCTCCTCTCGATTGTACTGTTTCTGAGGATTGGTATTTGAACTGTGCACGTCTTACTCACTACCCGCTCCTGGCACAGGTAGATGGCAATCTCAGAGGAATTAAGTAGGAGAGTTAAACATTACTTTTCACTGTTGGGTTAGATTTAAAGTGTCACAGTGCAATCCTGAGGAAGGTGCTCAGAAGCCTGACCTTGGCTGAGTAACTCAGACTTCAGGAGATAGTTACTAGAGATAATATTTTGTAGAAACTGTCTGGTGGGAACAGGGGATCAGAGGATATGGAAAGGGATTTTCCTAAAGCTCCGGAGTACTGTTCTGCCTGGGCAGGCCTGAGGAAAGGGGGCAGAGCTACTCACTGGAGAGTGTCTACCAGGGCCGTCCAGGTCAAGCCAGGAACTGGAGGAAACCCAGCACAGCCAGGGCAAACCAAGAAAGTTTAGTTTCTTTTCACACTTTTTTGTTTGGGCATGATGGGAGACTCCTGCAAAAGTAGGTAGTTCCTGTGGAACACACTGTCTGCCACCCCCTTTAGCTAACACCCTTCAGCAAAGCTTGGGGCCTTGTCTTAGGAGGCATAATGACAACGCGGCCTGCTCGGGTGGCGGGGGACAATGCCCTTTCTCAACGTCTACCGGAGGAGGTTGACCCGTGAGCAGCAGACTACTGATGCTTGGGTTAGATGGGCAGCAGCGATGCGATCCTCCTAAGAACTTTAATAAACTTCCTTTGATTCCTCACTTCACAAATGAGGAAACTCATTTGTTGAGGCGCAGAGAGGTGACAGAACTTGCTTTAAGGCTCGCCACTAGGAGTGGCTGAGTGGATATTCCAAGTCGGGTCTGTGGTTCCATAACCTGTGCCCCAAAGGTTGCCCCAGAGTTTCTCAATCCCGCACGCCAAGGCCCCGAGGCTAATGAATCACACACATGCAGAGCTGCTGAGGGTCCAGCACCCATGGCGGCTTGGAGGGGGCCTCTTGCCTTTACCTCAGTGTGTCTATAAAGCATGAACAATGTCTGCTTGCGCCAAGTGGGAAACAGGGAGAAGCTCTGCCTTCTGTCTTGGCAGCATTTGGCCCCTTGGCCAAGACCTCACAGTTCTCTGTTGAAGGACTAGAGGGAGCCTTACCATTTCTGACCCTTGGGGTCTCTGGTCCTAGAGAGCCTTGGCCCTGCAGTTGCCCGGAGCCCACCTCGTCGAAACTCCGCCATCCCTGGGGCGTCGGTGTTGAAGTTCCCGGACTGAGTTCTTCGGATCCTGTGTGGAGAGGAGTCCATGGAGAGTGACAGGGGGCAGCTGGGGGCACACAGGCAGGGCACCAGCCCCTATGCAGCGTCATGCCAGCTGGACCCCGGACTCTCCATGGCACTGCTGCCCAGGGCCTCCCGGAGATCAAGGATCATGGCCTGTGACAGCTCCCCAGACCCAAGCCTCGATTCTCATTCTGCCTCTGGGATTTGGGGCACACCCTGTGGGGTCCAAGTGAAGAGTGATGTGGGGGAGGAGGCCCATTTCTGCCCAGGGCCAGCAAGTCCTTCTTTAGACACAGACTGACCCCTTGGAAGGAAGAAGTTGGTCTCATGCATTGTCTCTCCCAAAGTACATGTGGTGAAAGCTGCAGAGAATGTGCTTGGGGTTCGTGGGAGGGAGTGATGCCAGGAACGAAGGGCAGATAAGGCAACAGCTACATTTACTGTTCTCCTCCTCTGCGCCCTCGAAGAGAACTCCAATTCTTCCCTCTAACGGCCTTTCTGTTTCTAGTGCTGTTCCAACATCTAATTAAACAGGGGGCTATGTGGTTCTTTACCCGTTCTAGAAGAATTTTGATTCTAAGCAATGTAATTATGATCACCACCAACTTACTTTCCCCAGAACTTCCTGATGCCTTTGGGGCTCCGTTTACCATCTGGGGTCAGGGGAGACTGGGGACTTGAGTCAGTGCCCGAGGATGTGGATGAGAGATCGTTGGCCACGGCGGTGTCGTCCCAACCACTTTCTGTGTCTCCTGAGATGGAAAGAATGGAATGGTGTGTGAAGGACAGAAAGGAACATGACCTTCAAAACCTTGACCCCAGGCCAGGGCCATCCTTCAGTGGGGCTGGGGAAGAGTCTGCTCTGCCTGCTGGGCAGAAAGTCACACCTCCTTCTCAGAAACCAGTGGGGGCTCAGGCACACTCCAGGCTCTCTCTCTGAGGACTGGCCAGGTTAGTGTTCTAAACTGGGGTGAGCTAATGTTTTCAAGTTTAAAGGTTTGGAGGTCCAAGTACTGGCAGGTAACTCCAACAAGGAGCTTCCTCCTTCCCCCAAGGGAGATGCAGGGCTGCAGGCAGGAGGGGACGTGGCTGAATGTTCCAGAAGGGAGGGTGTCAGGGGAGGGACACAAGGGCATCTCACTCTCCACCTCACCTGGAAGGATACAGTACCTAATACTGGGGCACTGACACTCCGGCCACGATCTCCAGCCAATCAAGAAGCAGAGAAGCCACATGAAGAAGCAAGAGAGGCCAAAGTCCAGCCCAACAGAGTTATAGGGAAGCAAAGAAATAAACAGAAGAGTCATCGAGCAAGAGAGAAAAACTCAAACAGAAAGAAAAATAATCCCATGAGAAAAGAAGGGTGGGAACAGTGACTGAACTTGGACCCCAGGGTCAGTGCGTTGAGAGGAGGCCTAAGTGAGGGGATCGAATACTCTCGGGGCCACTCCCTGGCAGGCAGAGGCAGCCACACACGGGTAGGGAGAGGGAGGGAGAGTGGCAGGGGCTGACACACGGGCACACACAGCCCCCATGTGGGCGCCAGGGCTCCCTCAGATCAGTCTAGAATGCCCTGAAGCTGTTGCGAGTCCAGAGTCTCAGGGTTACCAGGACAGAGCTTGTCTGGAGTTCCTGCAGCCAGAGGCGGAACTGGCCAAGGGCAGAAGCCAACCCACGAGCTAGCTCAGAGAACTTACAGGGATGAGGAGGAGAGGAGGGAGGGCTCTGCAGGGACCAGAATGTTCCCTCCTACACTCCATTGACCTGTTGTTGTTGAGGAAAGATGGCCTACTCTGCGTGAAAAGCAGTGAAGACCTCCACGGTTCCAGGTCCTAAGCACCAAAAGGGCACCTGTGGATGGATATCCTTGCCCACTGGCCACTCCATTTCCCTAAGGAAACACTTTCCCTTGGAAGAGCGCATAATATCATCTTACCAGTAATAGGGAGGCTGCAGGAGGAAGGCACAGACGGGGGAGATATCAGGATGACAAAGGAGGAGGGAGGGAGGGACTGGAAGGATGCACTCAGGGGTCTAAGAGGGAAGGAACAGAGGAATGATGGGAAAGACACGGAGGGCCAAGAGAGGAGGACTGGAAGGCAAATGGGGGTGGAGCGACTGTGGAAAGAAAGGGAAGGCTCACAGCCTGGGTTTCTGGTGCTCTACAGGGCTTACCAAAGGAAATAATGTACCCAGACAGGGAGCCATGGTCTCTGCCAGGGAGGCCACCCAGAAAGACACCTTTTCCCGTCCACCCACCTGACCATCCCCCAACTGTGGGCTGTGGCAGTGGGCACGGGACTTTTGCAATAACTGAAAGTGTGGCCGCCACCCCTGCGGCCTGGACACTCACTCAGCCGCAGCAGGCTGCTCCCTGCGGGGTCGGGCTGTGAGGCAGTGGCAGTCGACTTGGCAGCCTCTCCATTGGGTGTCGCTCCTGAAAGCTTCCCAGGTAACGTGGGGTATTTGTGCTCCACCAGGAAAGGGTTGTCCTGCTGGAAGGAGAAAGAGAGACATGTTCAAGCAACTTTATGGCTTCAGACTTAAACCCAGTTAGGAAATGTTTGGATGCACAGACAACTCAGCTTTCCAAGAGCTACGTGTCACTTAGCCCAACTCAAAGACCTTGCAAAGATGACTTAGTCCAGGAAAAGGGACCAGAGTTCTGAGAAAGAAACTTGCCCAAGGGCCACACAATGAGACAGGGACAGAGTCAGGACCAAATCCGGGGCTATTTGCAACAGACCCTAAACAGGAAGTGGAAGAGTCTGGCAAAGGGGGCTTTGCCCTTTGGCTGGATGCTCGGACTTGCCATGAATTAACAGCCACCAATGATCCCTTGGGTACTTCGAATTAACAGACCCGAATTCTAGTAAAGGGTACAACTACTGCTTTGGTGTATATATTTATGTAATACGTCATATGTAAGTTACATTTATATATTACAGTAACAGTTATCTTGAAAAACACCAGGTTAAGACAAAGTGAGAAGGGACGTACACACTGGGGAGGTGATAAGAGCAAACACGCTGGTGGGGCGACACACCACCCATTCCCTTAGAACTTAGGATCCCGGTCTGCACAAGACTCATCCCCAGTACAATGGGCCTGTGCACACACCCTAGCCACAAAAAGGGTACCCAAAACAAGGTCACATAAAGGGAAAAGAACTGCACTTCGCTGGTCAGGATGGGCACAATGCAGCCAGAGAAAAACAAATATCATAGGATTTCACTCCCATGTGGAATTTAAGAAATAAAACAAATGAACAAAGTGAAAAAGAGAACAAAAAACAGGATTTTCACTACAGAAAACAAATGGATGGTCACCAGAGGGGAGGTGGGTGGGGACGGGTGAAATAGGTGATGGGGTTAAGAGTGAAGTTATCACGAAAAGCACGAGTGACGTATAGAATTACTGAATCGCTATGTTGTAAACCTGAAACTAGTATAACACTGTCTGTTAACTACACTGCAATTTTTTTTTATAAGAAAAAGGACATAATGGCCCCTAAAGCCACAAACCTAAGGGAAACCCAGTGGAATGCATTTGGATAAAGAGAGAAAATGCATTTGAATAAAGAGAGAAAATTCATTCCATTTTCCTTTACCAAGGAAATTGACTGTGGATAACTTGATGGGGCCCAGAAGAAAAGTAATACAAAAGTTCTGATTTCCAAATGGACAAGTCTGAGAAGTGATGGAGACTTCAATGACTGAGACATCTCTTGAACTTTCATTTAGTTAAAAGCTAGGTATCCAATGAATTTCTGAATTCATTGTGCTTATAAAATACGCATCCCTGAAATTGTCTGAAATCCGACTCCTTCACTGAACATGGACTACTAACCCCTGTGAACTCGGACTACTAATCCCCATGAACAGGCTCAGAAAGGAGAGATGTAGGGGAAAAAAGGAGACTAAACTTCCAAGGAAGTCTGAAAGAACCAGCTGGTAAAGCACAAATAATCAGATGGGGAGACTGCATGATTTTTAAGCTCATGACGACCCACGAGGCAGACACTGGACCTGGTCAGATCAACAGTTTACAAATGCCAATCCCTGTGCCAGCTGCCCCACAATCACCGGGGACACCTGCAAAGACAGGGTTCCCAGGTTGCACCTGGTCCTGTGAATCTACCCCTCTGGGAGCACACCCCAAGTGGTGGTATTTTTTTTTTAAGATTTTATATATTTATTGTCAGAGAGAGAGAGAGCACAAGCAGGGGGAGCAGCAGGCAGAGGGAAAAGCAGGCCCCCTGCTGAGCAGGAAGCTCCATGCAGGACTCAATCCCAGGACCCTGGGATCAGGACCTGAGCTGAAGGCAGATGCTCAACTGACTGAGCCACCCAGGTCCCAAGTGTCTGTATTTTTAACAAGCGTTTCAGATTACTCTGATGCACAGTTAAAGCTGGAAGCACTGAGTGTGGGGAAGGCAATGTTTGAAAGGTTTAAGGATCTGTGACTCCAGGTTCCCCATGACACAGGAAATAAAGGAGTGGGGAAGGGCTATCAAAACCAGATTTCCAGTTGCATCATCACCCATGCAACACCACCCTCAAAGATAGGGAAGAGACCACTGAGGCCACCGATGTGGGCTGTCCGGGGTGCTCACTGGATGGGAAAGGGGACAGAAGCTGGTTGGGAAAGAAGACAGAACCCAACCCAAGCATGCGTGTCCCAGACCTATAAGACAACAGAAAGAATCGAGGGTGACAGAAAGGGCTCTCAGCTCTGTTTAGCCAAGAACGACAACAAGGAAGGAAGGACTCACTGCTGGAAAAGGTAAAGGTCAGGGCAGGACCCAGAAGGAACAGAAGAATGCGGCTGGTTGTGGGGGAATGGAAACCCCAGCTGCCTCACGTTAGAACAGAGAGGCAGCGCACTGGAGGCGGCGAGAACACAAGCTTTGTGTCAGATGGACTCAGACAAAGCGTTTTCCCTTCAGCCTCCCACAACCTGTTTTATTGTTTCTCAATGGGGAACAACTCCTGCCTCAGGCTGAGCATGCCAGGACCGCAGATAAGCACAGGCACAAGAAATATCACGTGCCCGGGGCCTGGAGAGACAGCAGGCTGTAGGAGCACAGTCTCTAGATCAGACCCCTTCGAGAACATCGCGCTCATGTGTGGTCCAGGGCACAAGCCGGAGAAACCAGTGCTGACCCTAAGGAGGATGAATGGGAACTTTAAAGGCTTGTGATCCACACGCTGGAGAAGAGGATGTTCAGCTCAGAGGAGGGTGTGAGGAACAGTCAGGAGCAGAGGAGGCTGGTTCATTCCAGGGGCTCCAGAGGGAGAGCCAGGATCAGCGGGCACATGCTCTGGGGAAGTCCTGAAGGTGTATCTACTAGGGCTGGGAAAGATGTGAAGAGCTCTCCAGCACAGAAAGCGAGGGCCAGACGTCAACGTTAGGGGATGCCCCAGTGGCTGAGTGTGCCCGTGTTTAGCCCTGACACGTGAGCAGAGAAAGGATGAGAGCTGTCCTGCTCCTCCGGCTTGTGTGTGGGAACCCTAACCTTCCCCTTCCCAGCAATTAGATCCACAATGTTAAAGATGAGCTTTCCTGAGCCTGTAAAATGGAAGAGACAATAAGAAATCCCATCCCACAGACAACGAGACGAAATCACACTACACGGTGCACGTAAGCCAGAAACGGGAAAGGAAGCGTTGTCTTTCCTCCTGTGCTCTTATCCCTTATGATTCACCTATTTCCCAGGCACAAAGCTCCGTGAAAACTCCAGCAGACAACCATGAGTGCACGATCGGGGCAGTTATCGTACCTTGGTTTCCACCCCAGGGGAGAGCTGGTTCCCGTTGACACACTGTGAAGCAGCAAGAAGGGTTTCAATCATGTGCAGAGAGAGAGACCGGTGTTAGTCACAAATGACAGCTTAGGACCACCTGTCTGCTTCCAGCTGCAAGGCTCATCCCCTCCCTCCCCATCTTTCTGTTAGGTAATCACCATCCACGGAGGAAACACAGGTCACTGTCCAACCTGCGGACAGATGTTCTGGGTAGTTGCCAGCAATCTGACCAGGGAGAGCAAGAAGCACAGGACCACAGGGCCAGAGCCACTGAATGGGCCCCGTGGCTCCTGCCAGCCTCAGTCTTCATGGGTGTCCTTTGTAATTACTGGTGCTGGTACACTGCTCAGACCAAGGGATTGAATACAGCAGGTTCCAGAAAGGTGCTCTCTCAGGAAAGGAGTCTGGTTTCCAGTGACCATGCCCGAGAACCTGTGATCTACCCTCCAGCACCTGGGACACCCACATGGTCAAGGGCCAGCCTCGAATAAGGGGCACAAAGCCCTCCTCACATCTCTCTAGACTCTTAAAAAAAGCTTCCTCTCCAATCTCCTAAATTATCCTGTAACTCACTCCTGGGCTCATCAACTTTATCCACATTACTTCCTCATTCAAAATCCCTGCAACAGAGGCCCAGGACTCAAGACCTCGACGGCTTGATCTGACTCAGGCTCTGAACTCACATCCTCCTGCTCCCCGCCATTTCCCAAAACCTGCCTGTGCTCACCTCTGCATCTTGTCCATCAACTCCCTGCAGCATGCCCTAACCTCCCTCTGGGATGCCTTGGGCCACACCTGACTGGTTTTCTCAGAATGTTCATGAAATTCCTGCCTCCCCATCAGCTTCAGAAAGGCCTCTACAAGGTGGGACCTGTGTGTCCCAGCACTGCTGGGTAAGGAACTCAGGAGTTACAAGGGGCTGACCTTGTCCACAGGTTCACTTCTTAGGTCTTCTAGGCTACATGAGAGTTTTTTCTGAGCTCTGGAAAAACACAAAAGAAAGCAAACAAAGACACAGTTACTGGACAAGGTGGTGTGTCATTCACACAGAGGACATACCAAGTGTTTTACCAGTAGTGGGTTTAGGGTCAAGGTCAGGAAAAATTCACTCTCATCACAACCACTACACAGGAGACTGGCCCATTTCAGGGAATAACCTGGTCAGACAATGCGTTGTTGAGGGCATGAGAGCATCATTTAAATCCAAATCAAAAGGCCTTGACGTGGGGCGCCTGGGTGGCTCAGTGGGTTAAAGCCTCTGCTTTCAGCTCAGGTCATGATCCCAGGGTCCTGGGATCGAGCCCCACATCGGGCTCTCTGCTCTGCGGAGAGCCTGCTTCCTCCTCTCTCTCTCTGCCTGCCTCTCTTGCCTACTTGTGACCGCTGTCTGTCAAATAAATAAATAAAATCTTAAAAAAAAAAAAAAAGGCTTTGACATTCCTTGAAAATACAGAACACACTCAATTCTATTACATCAATGGGAGCTAACTGGTCTATAGTCAGAAAGAAGACTCCGCAGAGTCAAAAGACAGGAGAGGTGCCGATACGGCCTCATCCGTGAGTCTAAGATGTAACCCCGGGAGGAAGGAGCTGTGCCACATTACAGTGGAGGTGAGCACATCGGCCAGCCACAGCTCCAGAGCTTCACCTGCTAGGATCTTCCATGCCTTTGCTCCAGCTCTGTCCTGACCAGTCTGCTCAGCGGAATTTGCTTTTTCAGAGGTTATTTTGCAGAGAAGGGCACAAACTGTATAGAGAAGAGACCACACCACCAGGGGTCACAAGAGTTACCTTGTAACAAGTCTCCTTTGCAGTGATGCTTCTCAGTTTATATGAGTAAAGCAAAATCTCTTAGTACATTGGTCTCCTGTGAGTCTGGTCAGTGTGAGTTAATCACTGTGGACTTTTTTCCAAGTGAACTCATACATAAACTAAATTTCTTATTGTGCAAAGTGACTACCAATTGCAGTCTTTGACACTGGCATTTTTCTCTAGGGCTAAAGGCTGAGGGAAACAATGGCCCTATAGAAAGTGGGGTCCAGAATGTAGGTGCTGGAGCCTCAGCACCATTCTGGGGAAATTTCCATCATACATATGGCCAATCTCCCCAGATGCCCTCACTGAATGACACTCTGCTCTTGGCAATGGAGCCTCTGTATCTCCATTACATGGGGCCTAACCTGGAAGCATGTTCTAAATTGTTGACCTAGGGAGCTAGAAATTGGTTCATTTTAGAGGGAAGTAGACCAGTGGCAGCCAGGTGACCCCACAGGCCAGCCCATTATAAGCTCATTGTCATGTGAAGCTTCCCCAAAGCAACAGAACAACCTCACTGTAGGAGAAATGGCTCTCCCGATGAAGCCGGACTTGTCACAGGGCTCTGGGACTCCTAAGAGCAGGAAGGACTTTCAAGAGGAGACTGTTGAAAGTGAGACCTACAACATGGGATGCTCTCAGCCCCAAGGAATCCCTGATGGGCACAGATGATCTACAGCCACTTCTCCTTTGAGGCTCCAACCCCTGGCCAGGTCTTTTCTCAGTGACAATGGCCCAGACCATTAGCCCATGGGAAGGGAAGCTCATCCGTGGCTAGGGAAGGTAGGCATGTTTGTGACTGTTCCACGGCCACATTGTGGCCACTGTCAGGGCCTGGAGCACTGCTCAGTGGAAGGGCAGGTGTGCCTAGGATCTGTGGTTGTGCTTACTATGCATGGCCAATCCCTGCCTTGCAGGAGCTCCAAGTTGGGCTGAGCACACAGCAGCTCTAGGGACACAGTCAGGACCCCTACCTGGTTTCCAGCGATTTCTGTGGTAGTGGAGGTGGCCCCACGGCGGGAGAGTTACATCTTGGAGGCATCTATACAAGAAACAGAAGTCACTGTAGGGGACACTTAATGTGTGGAGACCACCTACCATCCCTTCTCCTTTGGACAACTCCCCTTGAGGAGTCCCACTTCCTCCCCTAGGTACAGGCACATTGGCTGTGTTGTTGATTCAGGCGCCTTGCTCTTTCAGGACGCCCAGGAGGAAGGAGTATTGGAAACCCAGGCCAACCTGCTCCTCCTCCCCAGACCTGCCCCCATATCCCTGCAGGAGAGTCCTGACACTTGAACCCCTGGGGACCCGTGCCACTCCTGCCCTCTCTGAACTGGGTTCTTTAGCTTTTTCTTTCTTGCAGGGAGCCACCATGCACCCTTTCAGAAACATGCCTTGTTGGTGTAGGTTAGCCAGAGTTGATGTCTGGTGCTTGCAATGAGAAGCACTAGAACGGACCTATGCACTTAACAAACGTGAGCCATCTCCATGGCCTACTAGGCCCCGTGCTGGGTGTGAGTAAGTGTTCCCCACAGTAAACAGGCAGACAGCTGAGATAAAAGATCAGTGCAGATGTTCTTATGATAATGATACCTCTAACACAACAGAGGGATGGATGGGAGGGAGGGAAACTTCAGAAGAGGGCTTCAGAGGGGAGAACACTTGAGAAATGAGAATGGACTTAGTGAGAAGGCAAAAAGGGAAGAGAATTACAGGTAGACTGAACATGAGCTAAAGGTGGCATCTAAGGAGGACACAGTTTGACATTTTCACTGTTGTACTAAGTGCAAAGATGACTTTTTCTCTAGAGCCCAGTAAGTACCTTTTTGGTCTAATAAACGTGTGTCCATTTCCAGGTTCTGCCATCTAGCTGCTGTGTGACCTAAAGCAGATTAATTACCCTCTCTGAGCCTCAGCTTCACAATAAAGAAAGAATCCCAGCTGGGTGTCATTAAGGTGACAAGAAATAAGGTGAGAGCCATGTACAGAGCTCACTGCAGTAACCACACATTGGTACTGGGTGTCAATCACTGCTTCTGTATGATTGCCAGCAATCTGGAATGTTGGTCTGACTTGATAACTGGTCACTTGGTAACATTTTAGTTCCTCCCTCAATTAAAAGAGTTGAGCTAGACCCCTAAGATCCTCTTCAGTTTGGCCATTCTAGAGTTTCATGAGCTTTTTACACCCTGAGCCAAAGCCCTCTCTCTCCTTGAGATCTGGATCTATGAGTATATGTGCTTATTTGTATCTAGTCTGAATGTGGAGAGATTTGTGTAGGACCAAGAAAATCTGTCTGCTGGTTACAGCGGCTGGAGGGGGTGTCTGAAATAGGAACGGATCCCTGCAGTAGCTGAAGTTATTCTCCTCCATGAGCAAGGCACACTCATCCATTCGACAACCATCTGCATTCTCCTGGGCATCAGGCACTATTACAGACACTGGACAAATGGGGGGAGATAAAACCAAACCACCCTCGGTCTCTGCTTATACCCCAGAGAGGAAAGACAAAAGAAACAAGGAACTGGATTGAGAGTTCCTATCCTTGCAAGTCCATCGTCCACAATGTCAACCCTCCCAGTCAGGACACAGGCCAGCATCTGGGCCCCTACCCACCCTCGGTGCTCTCCCCAGGGCCTTGGGGGCCACTCCATCTATTTAATTTCTCACCTGTCAAGACTTATACCTGACAGGTACCTGACTAGATCATCCCCCAAGCTCTGTAAGCTCCCAGGACCTGCTAAAACCCCCATCATGGGTGAAACATAGCACCTCTGGTTTAAAGAATTCTTCAGGGCCTTTATTCACACTGTTCCACTTTCTGAAACTTCCCTCGAGTTCTTCTTCATTGATTAAGAGAGTTCTTTCCGAAGGCCCTGGAAGCATTAATGCAGAAGGGGGGATCACTACTGTGGGAGTTATTCAGAAACCCATAATTAACACAAAATTCTAACAATCTTTCTCCTTCATTAAGAAAGCCTAAGGAATACATAAAGGTACATTAAGACTGTGACTCAAGATTCTTCAGGGCATCTGAAGATGGACTGTCATGAGGGTCATCTCAAGGGCAAAGCTCATGTATGGAACATAGAGAAACCCCTAGGATTCCTCCCCAACCTTCTCACTCCTTGGCCACAGGCAGTCAGGCTCTGACTAGACCCCAAATACCAAAGAAGAGGGAAAACAGGGCAGTGATGTGTGCACAGGCCCAGCAGAAGCTCAGCCAGAATGAGAGGTCTCTGAATGCCCTCGGAGCAGCCCCCTCCTCCAAAGTAGCTGCTTTCCGGGGACTGTGATAGGAGCCCAGGTCAGCGGCATGAAGGGTAAGGCAGGCAGCCTGGCCTACAGCCCGCTGTGCTCAGATGAACACTAATGCTGCCTGGGAGGTTCGTTCGCCCCGGGCAGCAAATACGAAACACGGAGAGCTCTCCCTGCCCTGTGCCTTCCTACGGGAACCCAGGTACCCAGGGACTTAAAGGAGGCTCCCTGAGTGTCCTGGCAATCTACTGGGGGAGATTTTAGATTCCTCTGGAGGTGGGCAAGCTCTAATCCCCCATGAGGGCACCAAACTATTTTTTGGTCCAGGTCTGACTGCTCTTACTGCCCCTAAGGGGTATGCTGGAAAGACACACAGCCGATCTCCAAGAATGGAGATTCCCAAGGGCTCTCACTGATGGTTTTATTTTCTTGATGATCTGCTTAGTCCCTGGGAGCTCTCATCTGGGACTCACCTGGGACCACCATCGGACATAGTTTCTAGAAAATGACAAGCTGCCGATTTCCCCCATCCAGGACAGACTAACCAGCTCCATTCTCTAGCAGAGGATCTTCTCCAAATGAAGACGAAGAGCCTTCTGGCAAAATGCCCCTGGGTTTAACCCAGTCGATGAAATACCTCTGGGAGAAAAGGGCAGAGCCCTCCTTGCCCTCACCTTGTGTTGCCATCATCATCTCCTTCGCCCTTCGGTACTGGTTTAGCAGCCCCGTGAGCTCCTCTATCCGACGGTCCTGTCACAGTGGGAGAGTAGACTATACGTGAACACCACCACTGGCCCCTCTGATTTCATAGGTGACGGGGGCCACATTATGTTCTGGGCACATGGAGAAGAGATGCCACAGGGAACCTAAGGAACGCTTCAACAGAAAGGTCGGCATCCAGTCTCCTTCCCATAGAGCCTGGTTTCTCAGTGCTCTGCTAGGCCGCTCCCAACATTCTCGCCTCTACCCAAAGGCAAGAGTTCAATCTCTAGCCATAAATCAGCCCTTCTAGGGGTTAAACATTTCCCATCAGAACAATCACTATCTCCCCTCCTGAAGTAGCCTTAGAAATCTGTCTCCTAGTTCAACTATTGTCCTCTGGAGCTACATGCAAAAAAAGATTAAAATAAAGCTGGTGTGTTTATCCCCAGTTCCCTCACCTGTTCCTGGGAAGTCTGAGATTCTGTGTACAACAGATAAAATCTCCCAGAGGAGATCATTTCTTTCAGCAAAAAGTCTGGGGACTTGGGAGGTCACACAGATTCTGGCCCTAGACAGACTTGGGGGGTGAACCCTGGATACACTACCTACTGTGACCTGACCTTGGACAAGACTCAAGTGCTCTGAATCTCAGTGTCCTCATCTGTAATGTGCAGGGCTGTGATCCTCAGAGCTGACGTCCATCCCAGGGAGGTGCTCTCTAGCTACAGAGGGGGCTCCCCTAGGATTATACAGGGATCAGACGTGAAGGACAGAAGGTGGGGGTAATCACATGGCATGCTGCTTAGTGTCTCCGTGATGAGTCTACACCAGACAGTGCACAGAGGAGACTGGTGTCTAAGCGGGAGTCTAAGCAGTTACAACATTGGCAATAACCACGGTGGTATTTTTTTCCCCCACACCTACATGAACAGGTACCACTTCAATCTGCCTCTGGGAGATTTCACTTAAGCCAAGTTCCTAGGCATCAAGGGCAAAAACAGGTGGCTGAGGCTCAGTCTCTAAGAGGCAGAAGCCATTCTCCCGACATATCCCTGGGTCAGCAGCCTAATGGGCATGACCCTGCCCAGAATATCAGAGACCAATAGGGACCAAACAGTCAGAGACATCAGCAGAGGAAGGAGAGGGCTGTCTGCCTGACGATCATCTTACCTTATCTTCATTGGCAACAAGCAAAGTTTCCATCCCCATTTTCAGACGTTGAATTTCTTGGTCTAAAAGAATTCAGGTGTGGAAGAATTATGTAAAGACAGACAGCCATCCCCACATGCTAAGCTGCTGATAACTTTCCTTGTGAATCAACCACACACAGGCTCTTCTATTTCTTTAAAAGCCTGTGATGATGTTTGGCATAGTCAGTCTCATTAAACATTTGTTGGACTACTAAATGAATGAATGAGCCTAGTATTTTATCTTCTTTTTATAGACGTTAGTGGGGAAAAATCAAAATGCCATTTACTCAAAGGTGACACAGAAGAACCCCCAAATCTTTCAAAATCAACATCTCGGAAGAATACAGACATTTATTGCTGATTACCTGAGTGGGCATGCACCTGGGCTGCTAACTAGTTTTAGAGAAAATCCTACAGTCCCATGGACTGTAGCAAAGGTGAATTTAAAATAAGAAAAAAAAAAAAAAGCCCACAGCTGAATGAAGATGAGAAAAAAATGATTATGTAAAAGAGCTGGTGGGTACTTGGCTTAATTTAAAATGGTATAGTCAGAACTGACAAATGTTTAGACACATCTATAAGTATATTCAAACAAACTCTATAGTTAAGGAAAACTATCTTATTTCATAAGCCTACAGAATTTCCCAGTGTGCCTCTGTGTGGAGCACCCACGGCCTACTCTCCCTCTGGGCCTAACAGGGACTCTTGATTTCTTCCCCAACCAGTCTGGAGAGCCAAAGGACAGTGCCTAAAGGAGCCGGAGGTCTCTCTGCTAAATATTTAGGCCTAGGGATTGTCACATAGTTGGGAGTTCCAAAACAAGGACCTGTCCCCACTCCTAAACTGATTACTGCAAAAGGAACAGGGACGACTATGTAAGCAAAGCAAGGAGACTAGGGAACTAAAGTACAGGCATCCCACTTGCAACAAGAACAGGACGAGTAAATTTATGGGCTTTGCGTACATAGTCATAGGGATTCATTTTCAGAGGAAAGTAGACAGTGCCTGCTCACTATCTTAGGCTCTTGGCAGCTAAAGACCAACTCTGCAGCCCCACTTGTGGGAGGAGGGCGGTAAGCCCCATATGAAGACTGGCAAACCTCAGTGGTTTGGGCAGAACCCAACCTGTGCAGCAAATGACAAAAGGACCAGCTCTAAGAGTTACCTGATGACGGACTAGAAGGCCTGGACTGCAGAGAAGCATAGGGTGGCAGGGGAAGGCTGCCTGGCCTCGAGTCAGGCTCAGCATTCTAGGCAGGTCAAGCATCGCGGAGAAGCTAGGATATCTTAGGGGGCCCCACAGCCTCCACCCTGAGCCTTGGCAGGTAGGGGGCACGCTCAAAGACTTGAGAAGAGACTGAGAAAGGCTGGGGGAGGGATGAATATATGGGTCGCAAATTTTCTTCTCCAGCCCGAGTCTTGGCTTCAGGGCTGCGTGGCTTCCCCACCCCAGCCAGGGACCCAGGCTCAGCTGCGCTAAGGCTGACCAGGGACCCAGCAGTGTGGCCAATCCCCAAGGCTACAGGACCTTGTCCAGCATCGTTCTGCAGCCTGGTGGTGGGAGGAGAAGTCAGGAGGTGTGTGATCATTCTGTACTCCAGGTGAACAGCTGTAAACACTCAATAGGTGTGAATAAGGGGATCTGAGGATTCATCCTCTCATTTTACAGCGGACTTGAACTTATCACGGTCCACTTACCACGCTTCCACTCACTCAGGATTTCTGAGGAGCCTACCAGGGTTGAATGCTGTGTGCGGCTCTGTGGATCCAGTCTTAAAGAGAACAGACACAGACCTGGCCCCACAGCGAGGACCACAGTCTTCACCACAGGACATCCCCCAGTGCAGCCCTGATACATTTAAGTGCTAGGATGGAAGTTAGAGAAAAATTGGACTGGGCGTGGGGGCGTACTTCGTTAAGGTACGGTGGCCAGAATAGGTCTGAGGGGTAACACTGACTTGAGTTCTATAGGATGAGAATTAACTGCTTTGTTTCTGTGCCCTCAGGGCCTGGTATGAGTATCAGGCAGGCATCTACAAGTGACTGAATCACTAGTCTCCCCTAGGGGGAGGACACAAAGGAAGTCCTTCCAGTCAAGTGAAGGAAGAGCTCCAGGGGGGCTGCACAGAGCTTAGTGATCAGACTACACATGAGAAGTTCGCGGCCGTGAGTCCACAACAGAGCTGTGCTTTACAGGCCCGTTCACCCGCACGCTCATCTGTTCGCTCAGACATGTTTGCATGCATGCAGGCACACACAGCAAGCCTACTCACACAGGTACACACACACACACCCCCACTCACAGACACACGTGCCCGGGGCCCAGGGGCAAGCACGTCCTATCACCATCCAGCGGTTACCTTTCTCTGCATGGTCACTGTGGAGGGCCGCAGTCCGGGAGAGCTGGCTGTGCAGACGCTCGATTTCAGCAGCCTTCAGGGCCACCTGCTCTTGCAGCTGGGCCACCTCAGCCTGAAAGAGCAACAGAGGGTCCCTGGGAGCTCAGAGGGATGACCAGACTGTGATGGAGTGCCTCAAGTCTCTCACCGCCCAGGACCAATGGGTCCTACAGCCTGCGGGGCAGTTAGGGACAAAAGAGGCAAAGGTGAGCAGTTAGGGGCGCTTACTGCTCTCTCCACAAGGGGGCGCTCTGCCCGCTGAACTCATTCTTCCCGGCCCATTTGGCCATGCCCACAGCTCGGGCTGGTCTCCTGTATCCTTCCACCTGACCAGGTGACCCAGTCACCATGGAGGCCTGATGAGCTGGGATGGCGTGCCATGGGAGAGCTGCTGATGGACAGTTTCCTTCTGGCTGTGGTCTTCCTTCTCCCCAGAGAGTCACACAAAGCCGTGGATATACATCACAGTGATAAATGCACACAGATTCCATTTTCCCAGCTCATCCAGGAAGTACAGTGGAAATCAAACCACTATTGGTAGACAAAGAGTAAGCCAAGGGTTCCTCCTGGAAGTACTTTCCCACCCTTCAGGCATAGCCACGGCCTCTGCCCAGGCTCCAGGAACCCACACACGCTCAAGTACGTGTCCACACATACAAGCACTCAGGTGCACCGAGCAGACACACTGTGGCAAATAAAGGAGGTAAGCACAGCCACAACGCCGCATACACACATTCATACCCACATGTACATGAACTGTTGTACTGGGCAGTTCCCACATCTCTACTAAGCAGAGAAGGTTAAATTTTACACATAACAGTAAGTGTGATTATTCACACGTTCCCCTACTCATGAGAAGATCAGAATGGTGTCAGTCCCATCCCACGGGGCACACTGGCTTTGGAGCCAAACCTGGATTCTCTCATTTCCTACTTGGGTGACTTTAGGAAAGTTAACCTTTCTGAGTCTTGCCTCATGTATGAAATGGGGAAAACGGCATTTACTTCATAGGGCAGTGGTGAGGATTAAGTAAGATAATAGTCACGGACAACTTAGCCTCATGCTTGGTAGAGAGTAAGTGCTCAATAAATGCTGCCACTGTGGCTCCTCTCATCGTAATCCTTCCCTTGTGGATAACCAGCTAGTTCTCTGAGCACCAAACTAGACAAAGAAAGAGGGTGAGGACTAACTCGAGAGCCAGTCAACACAGAGTGGAGCCCAGTCCTCTGGCTCTCTCTCCCCGGGGGGAGCCCAGTCACATCCCTGTCATGCCTCAAGGTCATGGAATGGGCCGTCCTTTCCCACAGGGGCTGGAGTTAACCTTCAAACAATTTCAAGGAACCAGATGAGCCTGAGCCTTCTGGTGGCTCCTCTGTCCCACAGGCCTGCATTCAGTCTCAGGACACACTCAGATACACTGGCGGAGCACCCACACTGTCTGGGCCTCCGTGCTTGCTGACTACTCACGTCAGGCCTCACTTGCTCCTCACAGGAAACCATGGGAGGAAGTAATATCCCTGCGTGTTGCTTCTGGGGAGACACCAGGACCGGTACCCGGGACATAAACCCCACCCACTCCCGAGCCAGCTGCTATCCACTGTGGCCTGCGTGCTTTGGAGTTAACAGCACAGTGAAGGCCACTATTACGGGGTGAGGGCTCCCTGCGCCACCTCAGGGTCCCTGAATAAACCTTCCCTGATATCCCCCAAAAGGGAAAGAGATGACCATGTAGAGAACAAGGAGGCAGCAAGGGAGAGGATCTCCTTACTCAAAATTGTCCTATGGAGCACTGCCCCTCTGCTCTGTGGTATTGACCCTCAGAGGCCAGACAGCCAAGCCTCGCTATGTCAAACTGCTTGCTGAGACCCATAGCTTTCCCTGGCTCACTGAGGGCCTCAATGCTCATGGCTGACCACTACCAACGTCCATGGCTTCCAAAAACCTTAGCCTTGAGACCTGCAGTGAGAAGTGAGACTCCTCTCACTTCTACAAGGACTATACTATTCTTAGGAGATAGTCTCCTAACCTCTCTTGTACCTCCTACAGCCATTTTCCCCTTTCTCTGCAGTCGGAGTGAGAGCTGGTCTCTGTCAGCAATCTGGATGCCCAGTGCTTGTCTGCAGGAGCCACGTACATCAGTGGCATGAGCCCATGGAGGCAGAGCCCAGCACCTGGCACAGGGAGGTCTCTTCTCTCTGAGGCCTGCCTCTGGGTGAGGTCACCTACTGAAAACCCTATAGACTAAGTGCCTGGGCCAAACCTCCCTTGTGTCAAATTCCACAGAATGGGCCAGAAATGACAAGTGTCCCCACAGCTGGGAACCCTAGTCTACCTCAGCGGCCTCATTAAACCCAGGGAGCAGGCCCTGCTGCTGCCGCACTGGAAAATGAATGGCCTACAGGGACTGACACATTATATGCAGAAAACTGAAGAGAACTTTCAAGAAGAATACGGGTTTTTACTGTAGGGAATCAAGATTTTATAGGGAAGAGAGCATGGTTTTTGCAAAGACACAGATCCAGATCAGAACCTCGCCTTGGCCTCTCTGGGCCTCGGCTTTCTTACCACTAAAATGAGGATGGTGAATACACAGACCTCATTACCTTATTTCATAGATCAAATGAGAAAAGGTGGGCAAAGGGCTTGATGCCTTCTGGCATGCAGGAAGTACCCAAACCTAGGAGTTACCAAATAACCCATCGTATCTCAAAGGGTTATATGCCAAGGCAAAGAGCTTAGGTGACCGAAAAAGATTTATTTGGTCTTATAATAGGTGGTATGTACAACTCTGGAGGCTTCCCTGAGACAGGACTCGCCTGAGTGGAGCTCTATGACAATAGGTTCTGGGCTCTTTGAGAAAATGACTGAAGCACCATACACACAAAGGTCCCCTTAGATAAAAACAGGCTGTATGTAGATAAGCAGGTTCAGATTGCCTACTGTTGCTGCTGACTTGGTAAGATGTTGGGAAAGTTCCTTAACTGCTCTGTGCCTTGGCCTTCTCATCCATACAATGGTGAAGAAAATAATTTCATACAACATATTATACAGACATCAATATCACATTCAGAGTTCTAATAGCATGACATACATTGTATATAAGTGGTCAATACTAGAAACTGAGACAGAAAGAGAGAGAGAGACCTCCCAAAAGAGAAATTCCTAGAACTAAATATTACAAATGGTAGCTCCTAGGGCTGGGGGGTGGGGTGGGGAGTGATCTTTATTCATTTTTTTATGGCTTAAAAAGCCCCTATAAGGGGCACCTGGGTGGCTCAGTTGTTAAGTGTCTAACTTCGGCTCAGGTCATGATCCCAGGGTCCTGGGATCAAGCCCCACATCGGGCTCCCTGCTCAGTGGGAAGCCTGCTTCTCCCTTTCCCACTCCCCAATTTGTGTTCCCTCTCTTGCTGTGTCTCTGTCCAATAAATAAATAAAATCTTTTAAAAAAAAAGCCCTTATAATAAGTACTTTTTATAATCATTCAAAGTTAACTTACAGAAAAAAATAAAATTACAAACTAGAAGTGAAGAAAATTCTTAAGGATTTTTTAAAACCCTAGTAAGAAGTAAACATGTCAATCTGGCTAACACCTCTGGGTGGCGCTGTAGAGACCTTAGTGAAAAAGAGGGTGCGTTCAGAAGCTCCCTTACCCAGGAATGCCGCTCCAGGTCTTTTCCCTTCCCCCGCCCCCCAGGGTAGCCCAGCTCCCTAGTTGAACAGAAACATGATTTAGTTAGAACAACAAAGTATATTTATATAGGTAAAATATGCATTTGAAGCTAAAAACACAGCATGCCTATTTTAAAAACATTATTTAAAAACATCATTAAAGGGACTGCTACATTTAAAACAACGCAGCCCCTATTAACATTGGCGTTCATCTACCTTAAGACTTCTCACTTCCTCACAGCCCCTTCCCGGTCCCATGTCAGCCTAGGGTGCTACAGGACACAGCAAGAGGAAGGAGACTCAGCTGCTCCAGCAGTGCCTAATCCCAGGGGGCTTTCCCTTTGAAAATAGCGTTCTGGATCTTCTGTCTGCATGGGCGCACAGTAGGGTCAATCTGCGTGTTTCCAGCTCAGGCTATTGCAAACCCTGAGCCCGAACACAGACCCTCCTCAATGGCCCTCAGCCACTCCCCAAAAGCACCAGTAACTGCCTCGTACCTTAGTGGCCTTCAGCTTCCATTCGTACTGATTCCGTTCATTCTCCAATTCTTCCACCTTGATTTTGAGGTGCCTGAGCTCTTGCAGTAACTCCTGGAGGGATGAGGGGGAAAGACAGAGTTCTGATGGTGACAGAGCATGATGGCCCCTGGATCGACAACCCTGGGTAGGCTCATGCACAGGATGCCAGGGGCAGGAGCTCCTGCGTCATGCTCCGCGCGGCAGCTCGAGTCTTGAACCATGGTCCTGTTCCGGGAAAAGCTGTTTGGGCCATTAGAAAACAGAAGCCAGGGAGTTTTAGGCACAGGAAGAGAAAACGTTCTTATTTTTAGAACCTGTTCTGATCCATGTCCTCTGCAGAGTGCACCCAGATCATGCCCAAGTGTGTGGGGGTGAGGACAGCTAGGATATGGGAGCGAGAGCAAGACAGATGCAAAAATGAGGCAGCTTCTTGCAGACAAAGTAGCGGGAAGCAGGCCAGGTGGGAGCATCCCCTGTGCTGGTGGGTCAAGGAACCTGGAGAGGGCAGTATGATCCTGGAAGGCTCCAGAGAGGAAGGGACAACCAGCAGGACAGAAGACACTAAGAGGCCAAATGCCAAATATAGCGCCAGTGTGAGGGTTCCTGGGCAGGGAACTGGGTCCACTTGAGAGGAGGGAGGGAGAAGCCAACCCAGCAGAGGGAGGACGCAGGAGGCCGATAAAGGGGACGCGCTGTTGGACTAGGGCAGAGGATGGGTGGCATGCAGTGGGAGGTGAGGCCAGAGAGATAAGGTGGGGCCCTACTGGAAAGGCTTTGGATGAGGATATAAGGAGTTCAGATGCCATTCTTTGTCCAGTAAGGAGCCACTGAAGGTTGCTGAATGAGGAAGGGATCATTGAACAACTTGCCCGTGGTGAGTCAGGTTTGTTTCTTCTGACTACAGGGCCCTTGCTCTCTAAACTACCCCTTTAGCAAAGATGACACCGCTAAGCTCCCTTGTCCCAAACCGAGGCTTCTTTAACAGTGGATTGGTCCTGCTGATTGGTTCCTATCTCACTTCCGGACTTTCTGATCTCCAGATTCTCAGAGACTCCCTACTCAACACCTCCATGCAGGCATCTCATGATGGTCGCAACCCGGGTGGAACACTTCATTCCCCCTTGTAGACATTCGCGTCCCACCAAACTCCATCTCCGTGCACCTATTCCCTGTGCCAGAAACCCGGGGCCCATTCCTGGCACCTTACTCTCCCCCAAGATGGGGAGACACAGACAACCCCAAGCCTTGCGAATTCCACCTCCAGGGAAGGGAGTCTCTCCTTTCTCCCCAGCTCGGCCATCACTACTCTGACCTAGCAGCTCGTGTCCACAGCCCGGGCAGTGTCGCCAGGGCCTGCTCCTCCGTCACCCTGCCCTTCCTGAAGGCCCTGACCCCTACAGCATCCAGGGGAACAATACCATCAAAGCATGCCTCTGGTCCTGGCATTCCCTCGAAACTCCGAAGCTCCTCAAAACTCCTAGGCTGCCCAGCCTGACCCGGCGCCCGGCCCCTTGATATTACCCTCGCCTCTCTCCCTAGGCAGGCAATAGCCACATTGGCCACTTTGTAGTTCCCCTTTTGATGTGGCCCTTGACACACACCGATCCCTCTTGTCTGCAGCTGTTAATTCCCACCGATCCTCAGGGATCCGAGGCCAAGCTATGGCGACCACCCCCTTCTTCAGGCCCCCTTACTACACTCCCACAGGGCACCCTGGAGCTCTCCTCCATCATCTGCAATCAGACATTTATTGGTATGATTGCAAACAGCTAGTATTCCTCCTACGCTGTGAACTTTGGGAGGGGCTTGGCTAACTCCAAGTCTGCTTTGCTGCCTTGCGGCACACAGGTGTGCCTTACCTCCTGATGAACGAACATGTGAAATTCAATTCGGCATTTAACCAGCCTGGAGCTGAGACAGTCCGCCAAAACGTTACACCGCTTACCCTTGAATTTTGTAGGGTAATTCATCAAGATTTTCTCGCATCTAAGGAAACTATCTGTTGATGCCCTTTTTAAAAAGATGCCTTCCAGGCACCCACGACCTGCGGCATTAGACTTAAACGCCTGGTGGGATGGGTGGCTTATCGGGGATGGTTCTGGGAGCACATTTCTGGCCCTGCCTGAGAGGCCACCACCAGCGCACAGACAGCATAATACGGCCAGGCTCTGGTGACCTCTTTGGCACAATCTCCTCTTTTAGGTTGTCTGCTGCCCATCAGTGGCTATAAGCTCTGGTGTGAATTTTAGCCTCTTTTAGCCATCTTTGGGGGTGACCCACTCAACACGGGGCATACCCAGTACCTTCTCAGCACTTCCCTATACAAATCCACACTTATATCTGGACTCTCATTTTTTTTCCCCTCTTATCATTTATTTAATGTAGGAAGAAATCTCCCCCCAACCTCACCCACCGCCCCCCAGCCCACCCCCAAGCTTCTCCCCTCATGCCTGAGTCTGGATAAAGTTTCCACATGTTCCACGGTTGAGTATGGACTGTAGTTAACTACAGAGCTGAGGCAGACCCTCTGCCGTGCTCATGGCTACTGTGACCCTGACCTTCCCTAAGACTTTCCCGTCCTCTTTGACAGCAGGCTTTTGAGGCACAGGTCATCTCCACGCAGCTTCCATCACTAGGACACACAGGACACCATCCCATTAGTACAAGGGGCCAAGTCCAGGACACCAGTCAGATACATCCCACAGGGCCCAGAGTTTGTGAAATCCCTTTCCTAGACATTCAGATGATGACCTCACTGTCATAGCAAATGGAAACTTGTGTTCTATTTTCTCACTAGGGATCAACTTGTTTAAAAATAAACTTGAAAGAATTATTTCATGATGCTGTTATTTTCTTAAAAAAAAAAAAAAATCCTGGGGCGCCTGGGTGGCTCAGTTGGTTAAACGTTTGCCTTCAGCTCAAGTCAAGATCCCACGGTCCTGGCATTGAGCCCTGCATCAGTCTTCCTGCTCAGCAGGGGACTGCTTCTCCCTCTGACTCCCCTGCAACGCTCAGCTTGTGTGCATGTGCGCGCGCTCTCTCTCTCAAATAAATAAATAAATAAATAAATAAAAATCTTAAAGAAAAGAAATCCATGAAATGGAACTTTAATCAACCTCCCAGCCCAGCAGTGTCTGAATCACACCTGGGAAGGGGACTCCGGAGGCTTCCTGTTGCGTGACTGCCCCATCCCTCAGAGCACCTGACACACCTCACTCCCAGCCCTGAGGAAGACGAGGGCCACCACCCACGGGAGAGTGGACCTCACCTGCTCAGACCCTGCTCAGTGAGGGTCCCAGAGCTCAGCCCAGAGGTAACAACAGAGCCATGTTAAGCCACTGCACGCACCTGTGGTTAGGAGAAACCCCAGCCCCTCCCCCTGTGGAATGCCCGCACACGCATGCTGATATACTTAGGTGTGGTTCCTACAGGTGACCCCTCCCAATAGGCGCAGTCCTGGCTGCAGGCCGGGGGCTCGGCGGTGCCATCCTCGGGCGCCACCTCGTCAGGGACACCCCTCCTGAGTGAGAGGCGCTCCTGGATCTGCCTGTGGATGTCCAGCTGCAGACTACACATCTGCTCCTGCAGCTCACTGATCACATTCAGAACTGACTGCAGGAAGGAAGAGAAAGGAGAAGACACACTCAGGGCCAGTCGGCTCTCAGATGCAAAGCTCCTCCTCGTGAGAGCCACCCAGAAAGAAGGCAGCAGGCAGATGGGGAGCAGCAGGCGGCCCCCAGGGGTGACCACCCACTTCCTTCACAGGAACCAAAAGACATGGCATTTTCCCGGAGACCCACGCCACAGCCAGGACTGTCTTATAACTTGAACAAACCCCCAGCAGCTCCAAAGTGCCACATGGCAGCAGTGGGGGGCGGGGGGCATCCTATCACGTCAACACAGAGGCACAGGGCCTGGCGACAGCAGAGACAGGCACGTGCACGGACCCATCCCCTCTTACACATGCTGCAGGTGCCCCACCCCCATGAGCACACACCACACTTACACACGCTAACACGTCCGACTCTATAAACTCTCCCTCAGACCTCTACCAAACCTTCCTCCTTCACCTCCCACTCCAGACCAGACTCCTTTGTAGCCTCAAGAACATGTTGGCCTTTTATGGCAAATTTGAAAAAAATAATCGCAATTTCTGGACTTCATACCTATTCAATGATGAATAGCACCTGCTAGTGCTCTATGGGGCTTTCCTTTTCCCGCCCCATAGACATCTAGTCACCGTGCAGACAAAGACCCATGGCCACAGTAACGAGGGGGGCTCACAGGTGAGGGGGGAGAGATACACAAATAATCACGACAGGCTCTAAGTGCCAACACCCAGAAAACACAGGGCTGCCAGGGAGTAGAGGGGCTGGTTCTGCCAGCCCCCTTGCCCACGGGTGGGAGTAAAGGAGCAAGCGAGTGAGCCATAAGCCTGGGTAACACGGTAGATGATGGTGCCACTGGTGGCAGCAAGAAACCCAAGAGGTTGGAGGAAGCCTCTGGCACGGGGATGTGGACTTAAGGAAACACATGGCAACAGAACAGAGCAGAGACCGGGGTGGATGGGGTGGCAGCCAATGACGCAGCTTAGGTCTCCCCGCCCCACTTTATTGATACTCTAAGCACTGGCATCTGGTACTGTGGTCTGCCACTGGTGCTGTGGGAACCGCCCAGGTGTGTTAGAAGGAAACTGTTCATACTCACCAATGACAATGGTGTCTAAGAAGGAAAACTCCCACCTATACCTTGTTTTGTAAATCCCCTTCCCCTGCTCTTATCTTTAGACCTGCTTGTCTCTCTTATAGAAGCTTCTAGAATTTCACTGTCCTCTTCCTTCTTTTGTTCTCCCTATTATTAAACCTCTCAGATGAAGAGTCAAGACCTGCTGCCCGATTTCATCACCCCATTCATTCCTGCCCCCCGCCTCCTGGCAGACAAGCTCTGTCTCCACCATGAGGAGCACCTCGCTTCCTCAGGGCCCTCTTCCTGGTCAAATCAGAGCCATGTTCCTGTCCTCAAGCTGCTTGGCTCCATCTTGAAGTGTTTCCTTCCCTACCTTTAGTGATTTTCCACAACTCAGGTTCTTCTGACCTCTTTATCCTTTTCTGCCCACCTAGCTATCTCTCTAGTCTATGCAGGTTTTTATGAATTCCAGTGTCAGCTGTTCCAGTTGGTTTCTCTTTGGCTTTACATCATCAGAGCTCCAAGACCTTCTAGATCAGCTTCCACATTATACATTTAAGATGCTAAATACAGGAAGGCTGAGGGCAGAAGACTACCACCCTGTACAGTAAATCCTCCTAGAGATGGTCTCTAGGTACTATTATCACCTGCCTACTTATCATAGCATCCGTGCTATTTTCCTCCAGCTCACCCACAGGACTCCCTGAGTAGTGTGTGTGCAATGCCTCGCAAAGCATGCATTTACCTGGTCTATCCTACGCGATGCATTCCCGGCCTAACACATGAGGTCAAGTGGATGGAACTTCCTCTCAAAGAACACCATTCCTACTTCATATCCTTGCCTCCCACAAACTATCACAGGGTCAACGCCAGCCTCGACAGACTAAATTTCACAGGACCTTGCTCACTTTCTCTGCCATCTGGTGGGGGTGGGGGAGGTACAAGGAGAAAATGGTTCACTTCCAGTTTGCTAGCAGCTCACCTGATTTCCCTAATACCTCAAATTTCACTTACAGCAGGCAGTTTGGGGACGGTTGCCCTGAGTTCTTTCTGGCTCAGGCATTGGGAGAATGGAGCCCATTCTCTCTCTGATCTCCTGGAGAATGGAGAATGTAACTTTAACAAAAAGCCTCTCCACTATCCTCAGCACTATCCTTTGGGGCTTGCCCTTGCTGGCGCTGCTCACAAAGGCGCACTCTGTTTGGTCCTTTCCAGCTTTTATACGAGCCCATTTGAATACTAGGGTCTCTCAGGGTGCCTCTAAGCTTCTCCTTTCATCGGTATTATTTGGGAGATTACAGTCAGAAATCACATTATTTTTAAGTTCAATATTCCTGAGTCATCTGCTGTGGTATTTCTGAACTTTCAAAGGTCTGATTTTCCAAAGCCTACAGGGCCCTTGTAGCTACGCCCAGCTTTCCCTCCCTGTCATGGACCCACAGCATGATGGCCGCTCTCTCTCTCAAGGCACCCACTTTGCCCTCATACACTAGTGTCTCCTTTGCTGTGACATTAGAGCCAGGGTGGCAGTTTCCTAGTGTCTTTCTCTGCACACACCCCCTGGGTTGAAACAAGTAAGGGGTTGGGGCACCAAACGCCAACCTCCCCAGTACTTAAGTGTTCAGCTGGAGGAGATCTCTGGGAGTTGTGCACACTGCTGCCCACCTCTATGTGTCTGGGGATCCCTTAATTTCCAGGGAGTCCATCCTCAGGCTCAGCATTTCAACTGACGTTTCGAATCCTCTCTTTTCAGGGCTGGGCCACTTCCCCTCTTAACAAGTCTGTTTCTCCCCCACAGGGCGCACCCATTCTTGGGTCCTGCGTCACCAAGTCCAGGTGACATTTCTGAGGTTCTAATTGCCACTTTGTGTCATACCCTCAGCTGGCTTTATTACTCCTGCTTCGCTAACCATCAGAGTTCTTCTTTACGGTTCTTTTCTATGTGAAGCCACTAGACACCTCCCATAATCATGGTCCTCCCTAGCCCTTTCCCACCTGTTAAGCTCACTCCCAATTTTACTAGTTCTTCTTTCTCTTGCTTCATGCTCAATTTAATACTGGCCTGGCATTTACACATCACTGATGGGAACATAACCTCTATGCTCCACGGGACAACGTGGAAATATCTGCCATGTAGATATTATCTGTACACGTAGCCTTCGGTCCAGCGACTGCACCTCAGTATCCTCACACACATGCAAGCTCGTTCACAGAGGCATTTTCTGTAGTAATGAATGCTGGGCAACCACTTCTGTGTCCATCAAAAGAGGACAGGCCAAACAAATTCGGGTAGTCAGATAATGAAATAATATGCAGATATAAATATAAATACATCTTTAGAAAAACATACTTGGTCTGAAATAAACTCCCAGAGTGCCAAATTAGAAGGTCTAGGGGCACCTGGGTGGCTCCGTCAGTTAAGCCTCTGCCTTCAGCTCAGGTCATGATCTCAGAGTCCTGGGATGGAGTCCCACATCGGGCTCCCTGCTCAGCAGGGAGCCTGCTTCTCCCTCTCCCTCTGGCTGCTGCTCCCCCCTGCTTCTGCTCTCTGTCAAATAAATAAATAAAATCTTAAAAAATAATAAATAAATTAGAAGGTCTAGAGTAGTGGGCATGTGTACAACAACAAGGGAGAGAATGTGTGTGTACATATGTATCTCCACATAAAATTTGCAAATTTGCTCATCGGTGCAGCACTCTGGGAGAAGACAAACAATACAAACAAACTGATCACAGTGGTTCCCGACGGTGGGCTTGGGGGGCATGGAAGGGGACTTTCTGCTACATATACCTTTTTGAACACTTAATTTTTTAATTGCTGGAGTGTGTATTTCCCATGCTAATAAAAATCACTAAATCAAAATAAATAAAAACCCTACAATTCTCCTGCTCATGCCAGCTCTTCCCAGAGCAAATACCACCTTCTTAGCCCTTGCTCTGTACTCCAAGTCCATCCCTCTGGTTGCCCCAGCTCAGAAATCAGAATCCCTCCCTTCCGAGGTGCTAACGACAGGAAGGAAGAAGGACGACACCACCACCCATGCTGTAAGACATTCTGTTTTCTGCCAGAAATCCTAAAGACTCTTTCTGGTTCTCTTTATATTTGTGTATAGCTCTGATCAACTGGGCTGACTTGGCTTTCCAGGACCTGCTGGATCCCTGCTCCATTCTTTACAGGGTGCTCTGGTACTGCACACATCCCTCCTGGATCCCACAGAGGGATCTAGCTGCAGGCCCCCCTGCATCTCCAGGGCTTGGGGGAAACCAGACTTCCTGCTCCAAGGAAGATGCCTCCGGAAGGACTTGCCTGTGATACAGTGTGCCACCCAGAGGGTTCCTTTTGCCTCTGGCTCTTTTATGTTCCATCCTCCCAATTGTGTTATTTACTTTCCATGGTAGCCATTCCTCAGCAGTCCTGCTTCTCAGGAGTAAACCTAACTGATTCAAGCCTGGGTCTCCTGAAACGACCCAGAATCACTGCAGAAGGCTCACAAGGAAAGGTAAACAGAAAACCCGGTTTTCATCCACATCTCACTGACAGACTCCTAAGCAAGGCCGGCTGCCAGGATGCTCTCAATCTGGCAAGAAACCTGCACCTCCAAAGTCCTCAGGTTTCTAGAATCACTTCCATCTAGAATCACTTCCACACCTTTCTAGAGGCAGTGGGATACAGGCTTCAGGAGGAACCAGAGCCAGACAGAAAGAAGCAGCCTGCAATGCTCTGGTTCACAGCATCCTTTTTCAATTTTCACCGAAACATAAAATGGAATCTGAGGATAAAGCCTGAACTATATGGAGGAAGTTTCAGATCCTGCTGCCCCAGAAAACAAACAAAACAAAGAGAAAGGTCCTGCCTTTCCAAACCACAAGCCACGAGGCCTTGGGCTAAGTATATTCACTGGGAAAAAACCAGCAGCAGTGCCCCTATTCATGTAAGTACAGCTTCTGGCGGCCTTAGCTAAATGCCCCCTTCTAACACATCCTTCTAACACGTCCATGCGCATGACAAGGGGCGACTATACCCCCCACCGCCCCGGGGTTTTAAGCCTCTGGGGGTCCAGGGAGTGCAAATCATGGCAGAGCCTCTGAGCATACCAGCAAGGCTTATGTTCAATTCTAAGAAGGAGAAGTGCATTTCAAGTCATGTGGTTGTTCACGGAATATCACAGGTTGGAACAGCCTAAAAAAATTCCTCCACGTAGAAACCTAATGTTTGTACTAGCAACTGGGAAGGGCTGTTATCAGGCAGGACTGAGGCCAGAGGCTCAGGGTCTATGTTGTCTCAGGCATGAATAGCCCAGTGGAACACAAAAACAAAGAATTCAGATTGAAACATAATCCCTCGGAAAAGAAAAAAATAAAGCAAACAGCAAAATGACCGCTTGCTTTAGCTGTACTTGGCCCAGAAGTAGGAGCTCTCCTTCCACCCTGTCTTCCCCAGAAAGGAACTCAGCTGTCCCAGGTTGGTACTAACTCTGCCTTCTCTCCAAGATGGATTCACACCCACCCACGTGCTCCCTACAGTTCAGAAGCAGGCATGTGACCCAAACTGGCCTGGTGAGATGCAATCTGGGGGCTTTTGCTGGACCTCTAAGAAAGAGACTCTCTCTCTGCACAGGTTGCTTGGCTGGCAGGACCTAGAGCTGCTGAGGGCCATCCTGAGACCTCCTGAGAATAAGGCTAAAGCAGAACCAAGCCATACACTACAGCTGATTTTTAATGGCATCCAGAGGTCACTTGGATCTAGTGGTATGGGACTTTAAACCCTAGACATGTCAAGTTGTGTGACCTAATAACCCCCACCTTTACTTGTTTTTTTAAATTTAAGTGGTTTTGAGTTATCTCTAACACTTTAAGACTTCTCAGAGTTTACTGAATTCTGCTGCCAGAGCCTCAATGTATGTTCACATGTAATCACACAACTTGAAACATTGGTTAAAAAGCAACAACAACAACAACAACAACAACAACAACAAAACAACAACAAAAACAAAAACCCTCTAAACCTGGAGAAAATTCAGTTTCCTTCTTTCCTTTTCTTACATTTAAGAAGCAAAGTCTATTCAACTAACACTTCACCCAGAAGCTTTCAATCTGTGTGACTTTGCAGTTTTTCAATATACCTCAATCTACACCGCCATCCGCAGCATGCGTAATGACAATTGGTAAGTAATAGATAAAAGCTCTATGTTACTGTGTCCAGCACTATGCTAAGGACTACACACCCAAGGTCTTGTTCCCTCCTCAGAATCAGCCAGGAAATCCCAAGCGTTACTCTCTCCATTTCACAGAGGAAAAGCAGAGGTTACATAACTTGCCTAAGATCTCAAAAGCTGCAGTTGGAAGATCTGATTGGAGGGCCTGTACTCTTAAGCGCTAGAAGACACTGTCTTCAGTGTAATGGAGAGGTCTTCCTTTGGCAACACTAAGTACCAATGAGCAACTTCTCAAAAGCAATGCATAGAACTGCCCACATATTTTAAGTGTCTCTATCACCAGTGTTTACCCAGTAAACACAGCAATAGGGCAGGTTTCAGTGCACACAATGGTGGTACTTAATAGAAAGGAACAAGATCAATTTTTAGATTTTGGAGATTCCTAAATGTGTGTGTGTGTGTGTGCGCGCGCGTGCACGTGCGTGCGCATGTGCATGTGCATGAAGATAAACCAAATACCTATATCATGCCAGATACTATGACAGGGACTTAACTTTTGTGATTTGATTTGGACTTCCCATAGTTACCCATTGTACAGGTAAAGAAATTGAAGTTCAGAGAAATTAAGCAGCTAGCTTGCGGAATGAAATTCAAAGACCTACTAAGCAGGTAGGTCAGTAATTGAACCAAGGTGCTTCTAAACCTAAAGCCTATCTTCTTTCCACATCTTACATTGCCGGGTACAAAGAGAGGAACTTAGAGGTAGAGGTACATGGAAGGTGGTTATCTAAGGTTAAAACAGGATATTCTCTCTCAACAGAAGCAGCTCTGAGTCTACAATTTATCCAAGACATTCATCCCAAAAAGGAGTCTGGCATACACTGGCCAATGGCATTATGGAGCCTGAAACAAAAATGGGAACAATGCAGGAAAACATTGCATGGGCTCGTTCCTATGACCTATTAGGAGAAAAGAAGCACATAATCTAAGGGTTTCACCTGGGTCTGTGAAATGTGCTCCTCTGATATGGGGATAGTGGCCTACTGGGCAGCAGACTTCATCCCAGTACATGATCATTACCTTGGCTCTCACAGAGGACATCTTGGGTCCCTTCACATCTCATCTGATCCTTCCCCACCTACTGCTTTCCCTTCCATACTTGTCAGCAGCTTGAGGGAGGATAAAGCCTTAGAGCCAAAACTGGGTGGTTTGGGCACTGCTGAATTTGCAGCCACAGCAAAACCTGATAACTTGGTATTAACAGATCATTGCATCTCTTGTGCATAGACACTTCTGGCTGCCAGGCTTGGGGTTGACCAGATGGCCTGAGTCCACATTAGACCAGCTTCCCCTGCTCTGAGTTTAGAACAGTACGTATCCCAAGAATTTGGTATATATCACACTCACCTCTGCTTTTCTCTGCTTCTCCTCCTGCTCTCTCTGCTCCTTCTCCATGCCAACCAGCTTGAGCTTCAGCTCAGAAACTTCAGTCATCAGATCGAGCTTCTGGGTCTCAAGAGATGTGCGGCTTAGCAGCTCCTGTAAGCAAAACCAGATCTCAAAATCACAGCCTCCCTGGCAACAAGGCAACTGTAGCTCCATCCAGAGTGCAGAAGGCAATCTCTAAGTTATATGTTGGACAACAGAGTTGAGACTGCTACATGGAAGCCATAGGTCTAGTAGGGATGGACTGTGCTGCTCCTGGGTCATTCAGGGAGAGCACAGCCCCTGCCACTACCCATTGTGCTCTGAGAAACGATGTGGACTATAGCACTCAAAAAAATGTTTGCCTCTAGAAACCATTATTTCCAAGTACAGAAAAATGGACAGGTTTGCTAAAAAAAACAAAACAAAACAAAAAAAAAACACCTCATTTTCTCTATCTCTACTTTTACAGCAAACCAACAGGTCCTCTCAACCTAAACAAAAAAACAAACAAAATCAAGCTTACATCAACAATATATTTTTCAAAATCAAGGATTCCAAATCCTGGGCTCAATGTTTAGCCCACATCCTGAACAAATTTCAGTGTAAGAGTTCATACAATGAGCCTAGGAGGGAGCTAGAGCATACAGCAGATACTTGATGAGTATTTAGTGAATGATTAGAATCTTATATATGTGATATGGATTTTTCCTAGCCTATGTGGTATGGAGCTTTCTGAGCCACTAAGGGATTAAGTAGGAATCTTTCCTTTTTGTAAGGCCGGGCTAGAGGAGGTTTTAAGACCTGCCATCACCGGAACAGTAGTAGACAACAGCCTGCCGTCAACACATACACGTAATAAGCATAAATAAGACAAAAAACAAAGGTGATAGACAAAATGCCTGCTGGGAACTACTAGGGATTATGTAGGCCCTCAAAAACTGTGAGCATTCTTAAAGTCCAGGGCAACACTTCTCCACTGGCAAAAGGCAATGGTCCATAAGCCCCCAAATCTGGGCACGTGGTAGATACTGGATACACAGTTCCCAGCAAAGAGATTACAATAGGGCGATTCGGAGACTAACCAGCCAAATGAGCAGCCAGAACAGATACACTTCGGAGACTAACCAGCCAAATGAGCAGCCAGAACAGATACACTATCCTGTCAAAGGGTGAACATTTTATGTTCTCTTGGGCAACCCAACCTTAGTACCAGAAGGGTGATCTACAGCTATGATTTCACATATTCTGAACTGTCCTCAGACCACAAACCAAATCACACAGGACAGAGATTTAACTGGGAATACAGGATTCCCTAGGCAAAGGCCCTCAGGGTCTCAGAAAGCCAAGCTACAAACTATCTATCTGCTAATCTGAGGGGATGAGTATCAAGAAATTCAGCAAAATGAGCTCACTGAGCACAGGGCGGAAGAGGCCAGCTCTTTGTTTCAGCTCAACTTGAAGCCAGTGTACAGGGCAGAGGCAGCAACACTCAGTGCCTGAACAACAGGCTACTGGGTCACGAGGAGTCTGCCAGACAAATGTGGGTAACGTTGGAGGGGGGAGGAGAGAAGACACACAGATTCAGTGAGTGCCTCCTCTGTGCCCGAACCCCCCGGGTACTTTGCATACATGCTCTCAATAAACCTTCCTAGTGATGGGACAGTAAATATTATCCTAATTTAACAGATGAGCAACCAGGCTCAGACATTGGCCTGTCTTGGCCGAAGACACATGCCACTCAAAAACAGCAGAGTCCATTTTCAAAGCAAAGTCTGCTGGACTCCAAAACTCATTTCTGTCTAACGTATCACACTGTCTCCCAAACAAAGGAAGAAGTCCAAGAATTTTAAGGGAAGTAACAATATACATGCTGAAAAAAGCCAATCAAATATTTACTCGGTCAAGGAAACTGCCACTCAAATTGTCAAGATTTTTTAAGATTTTTTGTTTACTTGAGAGAGCGAGCGAGCACAAGTGTGGTGAGCAATAGAGAGTAGACGCCTGATGAGCAAGGAGCCCCATATGGGGCTTGAACCCAGGACCTTGGGATCATGACCTAAACTGAACGCAGACACTTAACCGACTGAGCCACCCGGGCGCACCTCAAATTGCCAAGATTTGGTCACGTGCACACTTTCTACCAGGGCCTGGTACTAAGACTATCTTAAGATGCAATCTCCCCGATGCCACCTACTCACTCCTACCTCCCCCTTACTCCTCTCCCTTCCCCTTGGCCTCCACCATCTCATTATGTGTTTCTCTCCCCATCCTTTCATATACCTGCTTTGTTCCAAAAATGATTTGAGACTGTTTGAAAAATGGACAATTTGAGTTAAAATGTAAAATCATAGAATTAAGGCAGGTAGGAAAAGAAGTTAAAGCCGGAGCCATCATTGGTAAAAAAAAAAAAAAAAAAAAAAAAAAACCACCTACCCTAAAGTTCTGTGGACTCCTAGAGGTGGACTATACTGCCTATATGAGCTTTTCAGCCACCGAGGCGAAGAGACAGACGAGCAACTCTACAAATCAGGGTCCATGAGACAACTGCTTTGGAGCACCGACAACTGAGAAAACAATCTTCCATGACACTTTAATCATTTACTCGACAAATATGTTTTTAAATATCTACCAGATGTCAAGGCCTAGTGATACGACCGTTAAACACAAAGCCCACTGAGTGCTTGAGTATCATAAGCTGCCGTCTGTCTACTAACTAGCATTCATGGCACTGAATCTACTCTATTTCTACTCTTGCCAGAATCCCTCTAGCTGTTTTAATTGGTCACACCAATGTTCCAGCTGATGAAGATGATATCCTAACTGGTCGTCCTAAAGTTCCAATTGGTCATGTCGGGGTTCCAATTCGTCACACTAACATTCCACATGCACATTCCAGTTATTAGCGATTATGCTCAAGTCTATCTGTTAGCATATGCCTCTACCTTTCATTACCGTCACCCCTCATCCTGGTCATCACTAAGTACTGTCCTACTTCCTGAATTCAAAACCGGCCTTGGACAAGCTCATCCCAGTCCAGATCCACCTCCCATCTCCAGGATCACATGGCCTCCAGGGACTAGTACATGCTAAATACTCTATCATATGTGTCCTAGAAGGGTTTAACTACCCTACAATCTCAACTGTTCTTTCTCCCTCCAGCATAAACTGAATCCTGACTTTGACATCCTATGCCCTAACCTTCCCAGTCATCTCAAGCTCAGTCCACTCCACTCCGACAAACCAACTTACTGGACAATTTCTCCCTGTTTCTAGACCACTACTGTCCTTACTGACCATCTACACCTGCCCTCCTCTTCTAAGGCAGCGCTATTCGGTTATAGTAACTTCTCCCAGACATCCAGAACCCAAGACAGTCTCCCATTTTCCTCAGGGCTTTTGTGTTTTTTGATCAACAGTTTCTCTACCTAGTTTGGGCACATTCCATTTCCTCTGTAACTTCAACAATCCTTGCTCCTTTCTTGTGAGTCTTCCCATATCCACTCTGGCTTCAGCTTTCTTGACTGCAATGCCAATGGGCTTTGCTTCTGCTTTGCCTCCGTTTCTCACTGGGATTACCACAACTTGGCCCTCGTCTTTGTCTAGAACGCATTTGTTCTGCTTCTAAAATCTTCAGCTCTGAAATGGTCTCTTTCGGCCACAATCTACTGACCTTTAAATTTTCCCAATTAGTAACTCAAATAATCTTTAATTTCTTCTGTGGGCACTATTTTATCAACTTCCCTTAAATAATATTTGCCTCCTTATCCATTCCACAGCTTGAGGTCATTTCAACTCTATCACATCCGTACCAGAAAATTCCTCATCCAGCTCATCCCTGCCCCCAGACCTGAAGTGCATTTGCTTTACCAGAGACCAGTCCATGCCAAACCTCAAAGTCTTTTGTCTATCTTTCTAGTCTCCATGGCCTGAAAACTGCTGCTAAATGACACTTAATGATGCCAGCTGGTTTCCATACAAAATTATGCTATCTAATGATAGCTGATCTTCCAAGACCACCTGGCACCCTTGCATTTGTCTCTGGTTGGTTCGTCCAAATCTTTCCCATTCTCCTCCAGCCACAAATCCCACTGTTTCTCCCTCTTCTCAAATAACCTCTCCTGTTTAGTGAAAAGATATTTAAAAATAATCTGATCATTTGTTGAATTTATATCCTTTCTATTTCAAAGTTTCCCAGAAACATCTCTTATTCAAATCTCTTAAATCCACGCTTAGAGCTAGCAAGCCCATGTTTCATGTTGAGTTCTTTCACTTTTAAGAACCACTCTGAAGCCCAGTAAGTTTCCAGGTTGCACATAAAAAGCATGTTCAAGGACACAATGATTCTGGAGTTTGCCCTGGAATTGCCCCATCTCACCCACCTTCCTGTTGCTGACTATCTCTTGTTCTCCAGACTTCATGCCATCTCCACACAGTTTGATGTCCAAGGCTTTCAAGTTACCTCCCTGGTCAGTCATTAGTGTTTGGCTGTGATCTCAGAGTCCTGGTCCGGTTTCTCCCTCTGAAGGATGCCTACTCACCTGGTCCTATGCTCTCCCTCACCTCTGTCCTGCCTGTGAGGAAGTTCCCACCCAGTCTGTGCTACACTAGGGTAGGACTATTAATCATCCACTCTGACAGGCATTTAATCTCTTTCACCATCAGCTCCCATTCCTCAGGCTATAAGCATGATCAAATTTCTGACATTCAAAAGAACTTGCCCTCTTGACCTTGCCTTCCCCTGAAGCAACCACCATCAACTCCCTTCTGCTCTCGCCAGCCAAATGCATGCTCTCTGTGCACTGTAGGTATGAATGTACTCTCTCTCCAATCCCTCCCTCACCCCTTCACAGCCAAGCTCTAAAAGAATAATCTACCCTTGCTGCCTCTTCTTCCTCACTTTCCCGTCATTTCTCCACAAGATGTCTGCATTCCTGCAACCCAGCTTTTGCCTTCAGCAGGTAGCACACAGAAACAGATCTGGTTTTGGGGACCAATGTCCAAACTTTCAGATACAACCTGTACTTCTCAGCTTTCAACCGTTGATTCTCCACCCACTTAACAGTCTAAGATACTGTTCTCCCTCTCATCCTTCCGGTTTTCCTGATCTTTCT